TATTCTCAGGTTTCGCTGCTTACATTTACTAGAGCAGTATTTTCTTAAGTAGTATAAAAATGAAAACTCTTGAAAATACCCAAGAAAGCAAACAAATGGCTCATCAAAGAAACCCAGAGTTCTCACTTGAGGCACAAATGACTAGGTTGAAAATTTGGACACATTATGCAAAGATCTAGCTCTTTGGAGAAGGCTATAATGCTGGGAAAGGTGAAAAAAAGAGAAGAGAATGACCAGCAGCAAGGTGGATGGACTCAGTTACAGCGGTGATGAGTGTCCTAGCACCAGCTGCATAGAACTCTTTAAGCATTGTGACTTTTTGTATTATCTGAACCCTAGGCAGCTCATATTTTTAGTTTCCGAAAACCAAATATGTTGCAAATGCTGGTTTCTAAAAATCTCAAATAGTGGCTTGTTGCAAATTTTATAATAAACAACATAATTCTTAATATACATCACCAACACAATATGAGCAGAAAGGAAGGAGGATGCAAGGTAGCAAGTTGACATTTTCACTTAAAAGCTCACACTTTGAACTGTTATTGACAGACATCTGGATCAAATAAGCAATGAAGCCAAAGTTAGCTTTTTAAATTTGGTTTATTTGCTTGCTAAAAATAACACATATATACCTAAAAGAGATGTTATTTAAGACAGTGTTATTACAACCTTTCCTTAAAACATCCCTCAGGCACTTAAGAGAAATTCTCAGTAATTTAATATCTGTCACCAGTTTCCATACAACACTATTTCCATATATAAATATTCATTTCAGAATCATGATGCAAATAGTTATACATCTGAAAACAAAAATAAAATGCATGTGTATTTTATTAAAAAATTGTTAGCCTTGGAATAGGAAAAGAGAAAAATAAATGTATTATCGTATGCTTTTGAAAGAACAATCTAATCCAGCAATCAGTTGTGTATTTTCAAAGATTCCTTTTTGTTTCTCTCTCCACTCCAAGATTTGTTCTGCCAGTTCTTCGATCTCTGTTACCAATAAGTCCATCTTTGCTAATGCACTACTCTGTAATATAATATGAAAATAAATATTTCAATAGTATTTGGTAAGATTTCAACATCTTGAAAGCTAAAAAAAGCTCAAAGCTACTGTAATTTTATTAATATATGCTAGTTTATGCCATACACACTGTTTGAGAATAAGAAAAGTAGTAAAAAATAATATCTTTTCATTTCAGGAGGAAGTATAGTATGAAATGAAGTACTGTAGCAATTTGCATTTCCCCCAAAGCATTTCCCTTATGTTTTTTCAGGTTACAAATCTGTCATGTAGTAGACTGGTACTATATTTCAAGATTAAGAAATAAATATGTTCTTAGTACTATCCAAAAAGCTGAACTTGTAAATTATCCTTAAGGGAAAAGAAAGAGTATTAGTGAAATGTTAAAATATTTGCTACTTACCATATTTCTAATGTTTTCAGGTATTTGAGGGATTCTTCTTACAGTAAGAAAGTGGGATTCTAATTTTTCAATAAAAGCTACTGCCAGTGCCAGCAATTGTACCACATCTCTAAAGTACAAGCAAAGATGCATTATTCCATATTCCGTAGTTTGAGAAGTTTTAAGAATCTTTGGATTTTATTTCTAAATTCTCCCTAGGGTTGCCAGGTGTCCACTATTTGAGTGGACAGTCCACTTTTTTCACATTATGTTCACTATTTTTTTTCACAAAATAGTGGACATTTTTTTTATTCAAAAGCTTTATGATGAAATGGTACGTAATCTAAAGCTGTACAGTCTACTTTTTTTACTACTTAAACCCCCCCCCCCGCTTGTCCGCTATTTTTTGGAAGCAGACCTGGCAACCCTAATTCTCCCCTATTTAAACATGGATTTAAACATTATACCAACTTTCTATATAAAGACAATAAACATTGTTAAACCTGAAATATACCCCAGTCAAGACTGAACACCCTATTTTTTGCCAAAAAAATCAATATGTCTAAAACCCTAGGAGAAAAATTTTAAAAAATGTTTTTCTTTCTATTTTTCCAACAAAAGTCTCTGAAGAATCATACCAGGGTATTAATATAAAAGCTTAAAATAATTCTAAATAGCAAAATCTAAGATAAAACTATTTAAAAAGAGACCAAATGCTTCTATAAATAAGTAAAAATGTGAATAACTAAGTATTCACATACCCCTTTCAAATGTACAGAGAAGATTGTCAAACTTCTCAAGGAAAGATCCTCTCCCAAAGCTTAGCCATTAACACCTTCAACAGGGATGGGCCAGAGAGTTGGGCCTCTAAGGTAGATCTCAAAACAGAAGAGGGTTGATATAGGCTCAGTAATGGTTTAAAGCAGGGGTGTCAAACTGGCGGCCCATGGACTGGATGCGTCACACACAGGCCACGCCCACCCCGGCTCCGCAAAGGCAAAAAACCGTCGTGATAGGTCACATGATGCAATCAAGTTTGACACCTGTTGTTTAAAGTAATGTGCCCAGACTATTTAGAGCTGTAAAAATGAATACCAACCATATAAGGTGTGCCATGAAACAAACAGCACAAGAAATATCAAGATATGATGCACTCCAGTGATCCCTTTGATGTGCTCGTGGACTATATTTTCATACTATGTATTTTGATTAAATGAGAAATTGATAAAATATATCCAGCACAACCGTAAAACGTAGCTGACAGAAGCTGTCTTCTGATGTTAAAAATAAGTCTTTGGGTTCTTCTCATTCAGGAGCTAAGATAAAAATGTGTGTTTTACAAATACCAGCACATTGTCACTGTACATTATTATTATTATTATTATTATTATTATTATTATTATTATTATTATTATTCGCCTGTACAAAAGGAAAGGTAGCAAGAATGAATACAAACTTTACAGGGAAACGTGTTTGGCAGAAATGTTAAGAATGCAAGGGTAGGTTGAAAAATAGTGGATCCAATGCAGTCAATGCAGTCAATTCGGAGGAGTGAATGGATGTTGAAAGAAGCAAAAGCAGTTGTGCATACTAGTGTATTTCTGTCCACTTTTATCAGCCCCAAACTCTACTGGACTCTCACAGATTTCACCAATAATAAATACTAAGTAAACATACAAAATTAGGACAATTGATACCTATGGAAGGCAGCTTCTATAGGCAGACTTTCTCGACACAGTGGTTTAACCAGCCTTTGCCTCAGAGCTCTTTTGCTCTTTAGCACTGCATCCAGGTGCCTGTTCATCGCTTGCAAAGCCTGGCACTTCTGAGCTATGAAAAAGAAAATGTCAAAGTAAAACTGGCTGGTGCATTAATGTACATCACGATTGCAGAACATTTGGAGGAAAAAAAACTACATTAGATCATAGTCTTCCCAATATGAATTCTGGCACATTGTCAGGAGACACCTGGATTAATTAAAACGCAAGTAATAAGAGAGAGAGAGAAAAGAGGGGGGAAAGGATTTATATAATAGTTCAGGAAGTACTAGGCTTGCCAGGCAACTGCTGAACAATCTAATTAGTACATTCCAATGTTACTCTGGATTGATAGTTCAATTTCTGAATACCATCCCAAAATTCTTACAGCAAGTATGACAGAACACACTGGAATTATATTCAACTTCGTAAAAGGACTTTTTCTCATATAATGGGAGTGTCCTTTTTCTCCTTTGCAACTCTTTGCAACCGATTGGTGATATCCTCACAAATTGATCCTCATGGTATAAAGGAGTGTATTTCAATCCCATATCCTGTGTAATTATTTTAATGTATGCTGTTCTTCAAAACAATATTGCCAAAGAGGCTTACAGCATCCACAAGGCTTCTAAAGGTAACAATCTCTCTCTTCCCACTCGAGCAGATAATGCTGCATTTTTTAAGCACCCTGGCAGACCAGTTTGATCTAATGGATAAGGCACAATTTGAAGCCAGGAGACTGTGGATTTATATATTTAATGGATTTATATGAGTGCCATTACAAATATATGACTGAATGGCTAATATGAAAAATGATAAAAACATATCCCTTGGTGGATGGGACTCAGAGCATGCCCTTATATATGATCAAATAGGATGGGTAGAAATAATCAGAGAGAGATGACCCCATAAGTAACTCAGTCCCAAATCACAAAGGGCTTTAACGATGACTGCCAACACTGTGAATTACACTTTGAAATATACTGGTGGCCAATGCAGCCTGTGGAACTGCGATGTCACATATGCCGAAAAACAGGTATTGCTAACTGACTGTGCCACATTGTGCCACCATGTAAACTTCCAGATGGCCTTCCAGATGCTTGTAAAACATGTTGCAGTAGTCCAATCTAAAGATTCCTAGGGTATAAGTGACTGTGTGACCCCCTTCCTGGGGTACAGACAACAGCTGGATGACTTTGGGCCAGTGACTTTCTCTTAGTCCTAATTACTTGCAAGCCACTTCTGAGAATACTGACAACAAAACAAATAATACAAAAAGAATTTTCCAATTGTATGAACATACAAAATTAACCCAAAGTCTTATATTACGTCCAATTCCTTAACTACCTTCCTCAAAGGTTAAATAGCAACCTTAACAATACTTACTAAGATAAAATGGATGAGTAATATCTGCTGTATCTTTTTCCATTTGCAGGGCTTCAGTCTCCAAATTAATCTGTAACATTAAAACAGTACCTTTAAAATTTCTGTGCAGTTATTTAAAGTATTTAAAGTTACATGAATTCTGCTAAAATGATGCTCCATTATTTTTACAAAAGTGTTTGATATACTGAAATGCAAATGTTTAAATATATCTATTTTTTTATTTTTGCATATGGTTTACTTTACTATATACCTCTTCTTTAGAGTTCACTGGCCAAAAAGACTGGAAACCAGCCAAAAAGACTGGAAACCAGCAAAAACCATCATAACCATGGTCAAGTGACTGCAGAATGCAGCAACCAGCCATAAAAGTGAGCTAGTTTCCAAATGCCCGAAATTTGGTCAGGTGACCATGACCATGGATATGTATTGCAGTCATTGGAATTCCAGAATGGGTCATAAGTAGCTTTGGGGAGAGGGGGGGATCTGTCTTAACTTTAAATTGTCACTAAGCAAGGACTAGTATACAAAAAAGGAAAAAAACACTATAGACCAGGGGTCCCCAACCCCCGGTCCATGGACCAGTACTGGGCCGTGGCATGCCAGCAACCGGTCTGCATAAACAAGCAAAGCCCCATCTGCGGGATGCAGGCAGCACACACACACACCTCCAGTCTACAGAAAAACCTCTCTCCATGGAACCGGTCCCTGATGCCCAAAAGATTGGAGACCTCTGCTATAGACCTATAATATACACTTTTTTTCTCTCTGAAAACATCACAGGTATTATAATATTTGCTGTTGTTGTTAGTTGCGAAGTCGTGTCCGACCCATCGCGACCCCATGGACAACATTCCTCCATGCCTTCCTGTCCTCTATCATCTTCTGGAGTCCATTTAAGCTCACGCCTACTGCTTCAGTGACTCCATCCAGCCACCTCATTCTGTCGTCCCCTTCTTCTATTGCCCTCAATCTTTCCCAGCATTAGGCTCTTCTCCAGTGAGTCCTTCCTTCTCGTTAGGTGGCCAAAGTATTTGAGTTTCAACTTCAGGATCTGACCTTCTAAGGAGCAGTCAGGGTTGATCTCCTCTAGGACTGACCGGTTTGATCGCCTTGCAGTCCAGGGCACTCGCAGGAGTCTTCTCCAGCACCATAGTTCAAAGGCCTCAATTCTTTGGCGCTCAGCCTTTCTTATGGTCCAACTTTCACAGCCATACATTGCAACTGGGAAAACCATGGCCTTGACTATACGAACTTTTGTTGGCAGGGTGATGTCTCTGCTTTTTAGTATGCTGTCTAGATTTGCCATAGCTTTCCTCCCTAGGAGCGTCTTTTAATTTCTTGGCTGCAGTCCCCAGCTGTGGTGATCCTGGAGCCCAGGAAGATAAAATCTGTCATTACCTCCATTTCTTCCCCATCTATTTGCCAGGAATTGAGAGGGCCGGATGCCATGATCTTGGTTTTCTTAATGTTTAGTTTCAAGCCAACTTTTGCACTCCCCTTCTTCACCCGCATCAAGAGGCTCTTTAGTTCCTCTTCACTTTCTGCCCTTAGAGTGGTATCATCTGCATATCTTAGGTTGTTGATATTTCTCCTGGCAATCTTAATTCCAACTTTTGATTCATCTAGCCCTACTTTCTCATGATGTGCTCTGCATGTAAGTTAAATAGGCAGGGCGACAGTATACAGCCTTGCCGGACTCCTTTCCCAATTTTGAACCAATCAGTGGTTCCGTGTCTAGTTCTCACTGTTGCTTCTAGACCCGCATATAGGTTTATCAAGAGACAAATTAGATGGTTTGGTACTCCCATCTCTTTAAGAACTTGCCACAATTTGTTGTGATCCACACAATCAAAGTCTTTAGAATAGTCAATGAAGCAGAAGTAGATGTTTTTCTGGAACTCCCTAGCTTTCTCCATGATCCAGCGTATGTTATATTAAAGAAGTTTTAAACTGATTTCTTTTCTGGAACAGAAGGTATTGTGACTAATGGAACAAATGTTCACACTTCACATCATTTTTATTAAAATAAGTCTTGTTCTAGTACTAAAATATTATTTACCCGGCTGACTTCAGCTTGGAGATCAGCAATTTGTTCTGCTTCTGAGAAATAAGTAAAACAAGCAGATGGTTTTCTACATATATCTAGGGTCCCCTGCAGAAGAAAAGAAAAAGACAAACCAACTCAAACACCATGAAGTTTGGAATATTTACTTGTAAATAAAGATCAATTAATTCTGAAACAATTAAAAATGTATAAACTGATTAAACTATCACTTACTAGGAGAGACCGACACACAGAATACATACCTATATCTTTTTAAGTGTTTTATTCTTTATGTTGCTTTGTGTTCCAAAAGTAAAATCTACGGTTGAAAATTACTCTTGTATCATTTTCTGGTTTAGTAATCAATCTTAAAAATCTAAAATTCTTTATATACCTCAGAATATCAAGTTTATGCAATAACACGCAAAGGTAATTTGACCAAAATATGGGTCTATTATGAAGAGTAGGTTATTCTAACAACAATCAAAGGATTCTATTAAAATAGAAGTGATTACTAATGAGGGGCAGAATGCAATTCACATATTTATGAAAAACATGTTTTATATATTGCTTATCTTTTGAAAAATGATGTATTAGGGTGGTGCAACATTATTGAATGAATAAGAAAACTTAGGTGTGCACTTTATATAGTGTGTCCACTCTCCAAGTGGAGCAAATAAACACAGACAGCTTGTATGATAAAAGAACAGAAAGTTGGACAAATAGGTTTACAAAATGGACAATTGGCAAAAGGGACAAATTGGGGGGGAGAGAAATAGGACTTTTTACGTTTCTTGGAATGGGTGATAAAAATTACAGCAAAAACTGCAAAAATGTACTTAGGCCTACATATATATAACATTACTTCTTCCAGCATCATTTTTTTCAACTGCAATATTTTTCCAACAATCTTTATTTTCAAATGTCATGATACAAATCTATGAGAACCCATGTGACTTACAAATTACATTAATCTTAAATTTGAATGGGCTGGATTGAAGTCGATTGCTGGAATCAGGAAATAAATTAAGTAATGTAAATCATTCTAATCTAGATCATTGAGTCTGTCAACAGATGAGGAAAGAAAAAAGCAAACAATTTACAATATACTACTGTGAAAATAGTCCAAAATAATAAAATTATAAACACTCAAAAAGCCAGATTTTAAGGCAATTCGTGCTGGATGCAAAAACGTGAGAACAAACGAAATGACATGTCTTCCTTTTGCCAGACATCTAGGATCCTTAGACAGAGGGAAATAGTCTGCTCCTTTCAGAAATTAATTCCTAGTTAATTGACTATGGCACCAGATCTGACACAAGGGTTACTTACAAACATGTCCGGTTTTTTTTTTCAAAGTAGCTTTTCAAATCATAAGCACGCTCTATGAAAATCAGTGGAAATTCCCACATAAATCACAGTGGGCGTACATATCCCGAAGTATTTACACAATAAATACAGTGTCTAGGGTAGAGGAAGATTCAAATCGCATTTTGTTCCAATCAGTACACTTTTTTTGCGTCACATTTATTTCGTGGGATCCAAAAACATACAGGACCTAGTTACAATAGAGTGGCATTTACATTCCTGTAGACACGCAGACGTGCCGAAGTTTGTCATGCTTATTTCGAAACAAAATGACCAAGCGTGCAGCAGAATCAGCGCAACATCCTAAATCGCGAGAAAGCTGCTTTTCCAAAGTAATTCCGGAAGAAAAAGGCGGGCCGTGTTTAANTATTCTCAGGTTTCGCTGCTTACATTTACTAGAGCAGTATTTTCTTAAGTAGTATAAAAATGAAAACTCTTGAAAATACCCAAGAAAGCAAACAAATGGCTCATCAAAGAAACCCAGAGTTCTCACTTGAGGCACAAATGACTAGGTTGAAAATTTGGACACATTATGCAAAGATCTAGCTCTTTGGAGAAGGCTATAAAGGTGAAAAAAAGAGAAGAGAATGACCAGCAGCAAGGTGGATGGACTCAGTTACAGCGGTGATGAGTGCTCTAGCACCAGCTGCATAGAACTCTTTAAGCATTGTGACTTTTTGTATTATCCGAACCCTAGACAGCTCATATTTTTAGTTTCCGAAAACCAAATATGTTGCAAATGCTGGTTTCTAAAAATCTCAAATAGTGGCTGTTGCAGATTTTATAATAAACAACATAATTCTTAATATACATCACCAACACAATATGAGCAGAAAGGAAGGAGGATGCAAGGTAGCAAGTTGACATTTTCACTTAAAAGCTCACACTTTGAACTGTTATTGACAGACATCTGGATCAAATAAGCAATGAAGCCAAAGTTAGCTTTTTAAATTTGGTTTATTTGCTTGCTAAAAATAACACTAAATAACACTAAAAAGAGATGTTATTTAAGACAGTGTTATTACAACCTTTCCTTAAAACATTCCTCAGGCACTTAAGAGAAATTCTCAGTAATTTAATATCTGTCACCAGTTTCCATACAACACTAGTTCCATATATAAATATTCATTTCAGAATCATGATGCAAATAGTTATACATCTGAAAACAAGAATAAAATGCATGTGTATTTTATTAAAAAATTGTTAGCTTTGGAATAGGAAAAGAGAAAAATAAATGTATTATCGTATGCTTTTGAAAGAACAATCTAATCCAGCAATCAGTTGTGTATTTTCAAAGATTCCTTTTTGTTTCTCTCTCCACTCCAAGATTTGTTCTGCCAGTTCTTCGATCTCTGTTACCAATAAGTCCATCTTTGCTAATGCACTACTCTGTAATATAATATGAAAATAAATATTTCAATAGTATTTGGTAAGATTTCAACATCTTGAAAGCTAAAAAAAGCTCAAAGCTACTGTAATTTTATTAATATATGCTAGTTTATGCCATACACTGTTTGAGAATAAGAAAAGTAGTAAAAAATAATATCTTTTCATTTCAGGAGGAAGTATAGTATGAAATGAAGTACTGTAGCAATTTGCATTTCCCCCAAAGCATTTCCCTTATGTTTTTTCAGGTTACAAATCTATCATGTAGTAGACTGGTACTATATTTCGAGATTAAGAAATAAAGATGTTCTTAGTACTATCCAAAAAGCTGAACTTGTAAATTGTCCTTAAGGGAAAAGAAAGAGTATTAGTGAAATGTTAAAATATTTGCTACTTACCATATTTCTAATGTTTTCAGGTATTTGAGGGATTCTTCTTACAGTAAGAAAGTGGGATTCTAATTTTTCAATAAAAGCTACTGCCAGTGCCAGCAATTGTACCACATCTCTAAAGTACAAGCAAAGATGCATTATTCCATATTCCGTAGTTTGAGAAGTTTTAAGAATCTTTGGATTTTATTTCTAAATTCTCCCCTATTTAAACATGGATTTAAACATTATACCAACTTTCTATATAAAGACAATAAACATTGTTAAATCTGAAATATACCCCAGTCAAGACTGAACACCCTATTTTTTGCCAAAAAAATCAGTATGTCTAAAACCCTAGGAGAAAAATTTTTAAAAATGTTTTTGTTTCTATTTTTCCAACAAAAGTCTCTGAAGAATCATACCAGGGTATTAATATAAAAGCTTAAAATAATTCTAAATAGCAAAATCTAAGTTAAAACTATTTAAAAAGGGACCAAATGCTTCTATAAATAAGTAAAAATGTGAATAACTAAGTATTCACATACCCCTTTCAAATGTACAGAGAAGATTGTCAAACTTCTCAAGGAAAGATCCTCTCCCAAAGCTTAGCCATTAATACCTTCAACAGGGATGGGCCAGAGAGTTGGGCCTCTAAGGCAGATCTCAAAACAGAAGAGGGTTGATATAGGCTCAGTAATGGTTTAAAGCAGGGGTGTCAAACTGGCGGCCCACGGACTGGATGTGTCACACACAGGCCACGCCCACCCCGGCTCCGCAAAGGCAAAAAGTCACGATAGGTCACATGATGCAATCGAGTTTGACACCTGTTGTTTAAAGTAATGTGCCCAGACTATTTAGAGCTGTAAAAATGAATACCAACCATATAAGGTGTGCCATGAAAAAAACAGCACAATAAATATCAAGACATGATGCACTCCAGTGATCCCTTTGATGTGCTCGCGGACTATATTTTCATACTATGTATTTGATTAAATGAGAAATTGATAAAATATATCCAGCACAACCGTAAAACGTAGCTGACAGAAGCTGTCTTCTGATGTTAAAAATAAGCCTTTGGGTTCTTCTCATTCAGGAGCTAAGATAAAAATGTGTGTTTTACAAATACCAGCAGATTGTCACTGTACATTATTATTATTATTATTATTATTATTATTATTATTATTATTATTATTATTATTATTATTATTCTTCGCCTGTACAAAGGGAAAGGTAGCAAGAATGAATACAAACTTTACAGGGAAACGTGTTTGGCAGAAATGTTAAGAATGCAAGGGTGGGTTGAAAAATAGTGGATCCAGTGCAGTCAATGCAGTCAGTTCGGAGGAGTGAATGGATGTTGAAAGAAGCAAAAGCAGTTGTGCATACTAGTGTATTTCTGTCCACTTTTATCAGCCCCAAACTCTACTGGACTCTCACAGATTTCACCAATAATAAATACTAAGTAAACATACAAAATTAGGACAATTGATACCTATGGAAGGCAGCTTCTATAGGCAGACTTTCTCGACACAGTGGTTTAACCAGCCTTTGCCTCAGAGCTCTTTTGCTCTTTAGCACTGCATCCAGGTGCCTGTTCATTGCTTGCAAAGCCTGGCACTTCTGAGCTATGAAAAAGAAAATGTCAAAGTAAAACTGGCTGGTGCATTAATGTACATCACGATTACAGAACATTTGGAGGAAAAAAAACTACATTAGATCATAGTCTTCCCAATATGAATTCTGGCACATTGTCAAGAGACACCTGGATTAATTAAAAAGCAAGTAATAGAGAGAGAGAGAGAAAAGAAGGGGAAAAGGATTTATATAATAGTTCAGGAAGTACTAGGCTTGCCTGGCAACTGCTGAACAATGTAATTAGTACATTCCAATGTTACTCTGGATTGATAGTTCAATTTCTGAATACCATCCCAAAATTCTTACAGCAAGTATGACAGAACACACTGGAATTATATTCAACTTCGTAAAAGGACTTTTTCTCATATAATGGAAGTGTCCTTTTTTTCTCCTTTGCAACTCTTTGCAACCGATTAGTGATATCCTCACAAATTGATCCTCATGGTATAAAGGAGTGTATTTTAATCCCATATCCTGTATTATTATTTTAATGTATGCTGTTCTTCAAAACAATATTGCCAAAGAGGCTTACAGCATCCACAAGGCTTCTAAAGGTAACAATCTCTCTCTTCCCACTCGAGCAGATAATGCTGCATTTTTAAGCACCCTGGCAGACCAGTTTGATCTAATGGATAAGGCACAATTTGAAGCCAGGAGACTGTGGATTTATATATTTAATAGATTTATATGAGTGCCATTACAAATATATGACTGAATAGCTAATATGAAAAATGATAAAAACATATCCCTTGGTGGATGAGACTCAGAGCATGCCCTTATACATGATCAAATAGGATGGGTAGAAATAATCAGAGAGAGATGACCCCATAAGTAACTCAGTCCCAAGTCACAAAGGGCTTTAACGATGACTGCCAACACTGTGAATTACACTTTGAAATATACTGGTGGCCAATGCAGCCTGTGGAATTGCGATGTCACATATGCCGAAAAACAGGTATTGCTAACTGACTGTGCCACCACATTGTGCCACCACGTAAACTTCCAGATGGCCTTCCAGATGCTTGTAAAACATGTTGCAGTAGTCCAATCTAAAGATTCCTAGGGTATAAGTGACTGTATGACCTCCTTCCTGGGGTACAGACAACAGCTGGATGACTTTGGGCCAGTGACTTTCTCTTAGTCCTAATTACTTGCAAGCCACTTCTGAGAATACTGACAACAAAACTATAAAACAAATAATACAAAAAGAATTTTCCAATTGTATGAACATACAAAATTAACCCAAAGTCTTATATTACATCCAATTCCTTAACTACCTTCCTCAAAGGTTAAATAGCAATCTTAACAATACTTACTAAGATAAAATGGATGAGTAATGTCTGCTGTATCTTTTTCCATTTGCAGGGCTTCAGTCTCCAAATTAATCTGTAACATTGAAACAGTGCCTTTAAAATTTCTGTGCAGTTATTTAAAGTATTTAAAGTTACATGAATTCTGCTAAAATGATGCTCCATTATTTTTACAAAAGTATTTGATATACTGAAATGCAAATGTTTAAATATATCTATTTTTTATTTTTGCATATGGTTTACTTTACTATATACCTCTTCTTTAGAGTTCAATGGCCAAAAAGACTGGAAACCAGCCAAAAAGACTGGAAACCAGCAAAAACCATCATAACCATGGTCAAGTGACTGCAGAATGCAGCAACCAGACATAAAAGTGAGCTGGTTTCCAAGTGCCCGAAATTTGGTCAGGTGACCATGGATATGTATTGCAGTCATTGGAATTCCAGAATGGGTCATAAGTAGCTTTGGGGAAAGGGGGGGATCTGTCTTAACTTTAAATTGTCACTAAGCAAGGACTAGTATACAAAAAAGGAAAAAAACACTATAGACCAGGGGTCCCCATCCCCCGGTCCATGGACCAGTACCGGGCCATGGCATGCCAGCAACCGGTCTGCATAAACAAGCAAAGCCCCATCTGCGGGATGCAGGCAGCACACAAAACTACACCCCCTCCGGTCCGTGGAAAAACCTCTCTCCATGGAACCGGTCCCTGGTGCCCAAAAGATTGGGGACCTCTGCTATAGACCTATAATATACACTTTTTTTTCTCTGAAAACATCACAGGTATTATAATATTTGTTGTTGTTATTAGTTGCGAAGTCGTGTCCGACCCATCGCGACCCCATGGACAACATTCCTCCAGGCCTTCCTGTCCTCTATCATCTTCTGGAGTCCATTTAAGCTCACGCCTACTGCTTCAGTGACTCCATCCAGCCACCTCATTCTCTGTCATCCCCTTCTTCTATTGCCCTCAATCTTTCCCAGCATTATGCTCTTCTCCAGTGAGTCCTTCCTTCTCATTAGGTGGCCAAAGTACTTGAGTTTCAACTTCAGGATCTGGTCTTCTAAAGAGCAGTCAGGGTTGATCTCCTCTAGGACTGACTGGTTTGATCGCCTTGCAGTCCAGGGGACTCGCAGGAGTCTTCTCCAGCACCATAGTTCAAAGGCCTCAATTCTTTGGCGCTCAGCCTTTCTTATGATCCAACTTTCACAGCCATACATTGCAACTGGGAAAACCATGGCCTTGACTATACATACTTTTGTTGGCAGGGTGATGTCTCTGCTTTTTAGTATGCTGTCTAGATTTGCCATAGCTTTCCTCCCCAGGAGCAACCATCTTTTAATTTCTTGGCTGCAGTCCCCATCTGTGGTGATCCTGGAGCCCAGGAAGATAAAATCTGTCATTACCTCCATTTCTTCCCCATCTATTTGCCAGGAATTGAGAGGGCCGGATGCAGTGATCTTGGTTTTCTTAATGTTGAGTTTCAAGCCAACTTTTGCACTCTCCTTCTTCACCCGCATCAAGAGGCTCTTTAGTTCCTCTTCACTTTCTGCCCTTAGAGTGGTATCATCTGCATATCTTAGGTTGTTGATATTTCTCTCGGCAATCTTAATTCCAACTTTTGATTCATCTAGCCCAGTGGTTCTCAACCTGTGGGTCGGGACCCCATTTGGGGTCGATCGACCATTTCACGGGGGTCGCCAAGCAAGGCTGTCCGCCATTTTTTTGTCCGCCATTTTTCCCCTTTTCCGGCGGGTGCCTTACCTCCCTTGGGCTGGGCCAGCTGGTGGTCGGCCTGCTCCGTCTCTGCCGCTTGCCAGCTACGCCTCGGCCGGCGCAGGGGGCGGAACCGCGCATGTGCAGCGCTCCCGGGCAGGGAAAGTCCTCGACTTACGACCGGTTGGGTAGTCCTCGACTTACGACCGGTTTAGTCCTCGACTTACGACCAGTTTAGTCCTCAACTTACGACCGGTTTAGTCCTCGACTTATGACCGGTTGGGGTCACGGCATTAAAAAGGTTGAGAACCACTGATCTAGCCCTTTCTCATGATGTGCTCTGCATATAAGTTAAATAGGCAGGGCGACAGTATACAGCCTTGCCGGACTCCTTTCCCAATTTTGAGCCAATCAGTGGTTCCGTGTCCAGTTCTCACTGTTGCTTCTAGACCCGCATATAGGTTTCTCAAGAGACAAATAAGATGGTCTAGTACTCCTATCTCTTTAAGAACTTGCCACAATTTGTTGTGACCCACACAATCAAAGGCTTTAGCATAGTCAATGAAGCAGAAGTAGATGTTTTTCTGGAACTCCCTAGCTTTCTCCATGATCCAGTTTAAACTGATTTCTCTTCTGGAACAGAAGGTATTGTGACTAATGGAACAAATGTTCACACTTCACATCATTTTTATTAAAATAAGTCTTGTTCTAGTACTAAAATATTATTTACCCGGCTGACTTCAGCTTGGAGATCAGCAATTTGTTCTGCTTCTGAGAAATAAGTAAAACAAGCAGATGGTTTTCTACATATATCTAGGGTCCCCTGCAGAAGAAAAGAAAAAGACAAACCAACTCAAACACCATGAAGTTTGGAATATTTACTTGTAAATAAAGATCAATTAATTCTGAAACAATTAAAAATTTATAAACTGATTAAACTATCACTTACTAGGAGAGACCGACACACAGAATACATACCTATATCTTTTTAAGTGTTTTATTCTTTATGTTGCTTTGTGTTCCAAAAGTAAAATCTACTGTTGAAAATTACTCTTGTATCATTTTTTGGTTTAGTAATCAATCTTAAAAATCTAAAATTCTTCATATACCTCAGAATATCAAGCTTATGCAATAACACGCAAAGGTAATTTGACCAAAATATGGGTCTATTATGAAGAGTAGGTTATTCTAACAACAATCAAAGGATTCTATTAAAATAGAAGTGGTTACTAATGAGGGGCAGAATGCAATTCAAATATTTATGAAAAATATGTTTTGTATATCACTTATCTTTTAAAATATGATGTATTAGGGTGGTGCAACATTATTGAATGAATAAGAAATCTTAAGTGTGCACTTTATATAGTGTGTCCACTCTCCAAGTGGAGCAAATAAACACAGACAGCTTGTATGATAAAAGAACAGAAAGTTGGACAAATAGGTTTACAAAATGGACAATTGGCAAAAGGGACAAATTGGGGGGGGGGGAGAGAAATAGGACATACTAACTTTTTATGTTTCTTGGAATGGGTGATAAAAATTACAGCAAAAACTGCAAAAATGTACTTAGGCCTACATATATATAACATTACTTCTTCCAGCATCATTTTTTTAAACTGCAATATTTTTCCAACAATCTTTATTTTCAAATGTCATGATAGAAATCTACGAGAACCCATGTGACTTACAAATTACATTAATCTTAAATTTGAATGGGCTGGATTGAAGTCGATTGCTGGAATCAGGAAATACATTAAGTAATGTAAATCATTCTAATCTAGACCAGTGGTGGCAAACCTATGGCACGGGTGCCAGAGGCAGCAGTCAGAGCCCTCTCTGTGGGCACCGCCGCCGTGTGCCAAAAAAAAAAAAAAGGTTCAATCAGTCAATTTCAACTTCTCATGGGAAAAAAAGATCTTGCAAAGTTGGATTTGATTGATTGAACTTTTTAGTCCCACCCAGTTACCATCGCAGCCACGCCTACCCAATGGGCCACACCCACCCGACACCCAACGATGCATAAGTGGGTTTTGGGTTGCAGTTTGGGCACTCGGTCTCTAAAAGGTTCGCTATCACTGATCTAGACCATTGAGTCTGTCAACAGATGAGGAAAGAAAAAAGCAAACTACTGTGAAAATAGTCCAAAATAATAAAATTATAAACACTCAAAAAGCCAGATTTTAAGGCAATTCGTGCTGGATGAAAAACTGAGAACAAACGAAATGACATGTCTTCCTTTTGCCAGACATCTAGGAACCTTAGACAGAGGAAAATAGTCTGCTCCTTTCAGAAATTAATTCCTAGTTAATTGACTATGGCACCAGATCTGACACAAGGGTTACTTACAAACATGTCCGGGTTTTTTTCAAAGTAGCTTTTCAAATCATAAGCGCGCTCTATGAAATTCAGTGGAAAATCACAGTGGACGTACATATCCCGAAGTATTTACATAATAAATACAGTGTCTAGGGTAGAGGAAGATTCAAATCGCATTTTGTTCCAATCAGTGCACTTTTTTTGCGTCACATTTAGTTCAACCCTAGGTTTTTGTATGTCCTGGATCAATGTTATCTCACCGTAAATGTAAGGACATCTGTGCGTCTGCACGGCTTCAAACAGTACGAATAAAGCTTTGTTTTACTGGTTCGCACGTCGTCTTAGTCGCGTTGTAGGATTTAGCGCTCTTTCGACGAAAAGGTTTCATTAAGGCCTTCTTTTTCCGCCCGGCACAAATTAGACCCCCAAAAAACCAGCTGCAGCACCTACAAATCATGAGAATGAGTAATCTGGGCTTCTTTCATTCTGGCGCCCAGACTCCTTTCTTAAAGCTTGGCACTTGTTTGGGAGATCCACACCGCCTCGGAGGCGATTCTTATTTGCAAGGAAAGAACCAGCCGCCCCACCTGAGACACCACTCCCGCGGAGAGAGCCCGCGCCAACATCAGTCCCGCCGCCGTGGGCTGCATGGGCTCCCAGGGGTTGTTGGAGGAAGCCATGGATAGGCAGCTCCGGGCGTAGCACGTGCGCACGCGCGCGCTCCTCGCCCGCCTAGGAAGAGCCTCCCGGAGACGCCTGGGACGCTCACGCCGCCATCTTGAGTGCGGCCAAACTGCTCTCCCGCCACGCGAGTCTCTAACCACCAAGGAAGACCGAAGGAGATTCCTCACACTTCCGCTATGGACAGTCCCGACCACGATCTATCCCAGCGGGGTCCACCGAAGCATTGACTCATCTGTACGAAGAGTGGCGGCTTTTCCTGCTAAATGAGGCATCCGGAAGCAAATGGCGACTTTTTCGGCCATTTTGATTGTGGCGGAAGGGACTCGGGTACTCTGGGTAATCCTCTCATCCTCGAGATTCTCAAATAATTTTGCGAGCGGAGAGCCACGCCATTAGAGGCGAGCCTGGCTGTCATCCGGGTGTTTGGCTCCTTCGCGGACGACTAAACTCGCCTGGCTGCTGTTTCTCGTCGTGCTGCGTATACGTGTTGCTAGGATGCGAGGCTGTGCCGGCTAGTAAAGGGACGAAGGTAATCCGCTCCTCCTTTTCGGGATCTCTCTTGGTTACTTTCCCTCGGGGATCAACTGAGGGCGTTGGAGTCGAAGTAAGAGGGGCTGAAGTTGGTAGGTCAAGATCAACTCCGTTAGAAAGTGCAAGGATAAAAATCGGGACGATCATTGGATGGCAGCGAAGAAAAAAACTTTTGGTCTGGTGGTTTATTGAGGAAGGGAGGGCGGAAGATCGGGCTAAATTCTCATCCAGTTTTTTTGTAGCCGCAACGTACCATCCTGGAAAGTTTAATCCCTTTTGAGATTTGGCTTTCGTACCGCGCTAAACCATAGTGTGCTTGGTTTGTGTTCATGCAGTGTGACCTGTTTAGTAAACTGTAGTTAACTGGATCCAGTTTGTCATCTGAATTAGCGTGCGTGGGATTAGAGCAGGGGTAGTCAACCTTGGCTCTTTTATGACTCGTGGACTTCAACTCCCAGAATTCCTGAGCCAGCCATGCTGGCTCAGGAATTCTGGGAGTTGAAGTCCACGAGTCATAAAAGAGCCAAGGTTGACTACCCCTGGATTGGATTAGAGAGTGATTTGAGTGTGGCTTACTTCAAAGGAGGCGTAATTTTTCCTGCGAAGTTCCGTAATTGGGTTGATGCTGCCCCTCCCTTACGCTGCCTGCCTGTGTCTTTTGGTGGGAGAAAAAGATGACATCGTGAGTTGTCCTGCTTAATTTTTTTCCTTGCTTATCTGTAAGAGGAAGTAAATGTTCACCTAAATATCATTTGTTGGGAGCCCTTGATGGTCAAAACTGAGGTTATCCCAAATTCTCAGAGTTAAGTCTGACTCCACTTTCCCACCCTTCTCCTTACACAGTTTTCACAGTTCCAAGTAAAGGAAAATGAACAGCTAGTGCAAAAGCCAGTGAAAGGTAAATTGAATAATACAGATAGTCCTCGATTTACAATCATTTGTTTATGACTATTCGAAATTACAATGGCATTGAAAAAAGTGAGTGATGACTGGCTTTCACATGACTATTGCAGCATCCCTACAGTCATGTGATCAAAATTTGGGCGCTTGGCAACTGGCATGTATTTATGATGCTTGCAGAGACCTGGGATCATGTGATCACCTGTGGTGACCTGACAAGCAAAGTCAATGAGGAAGAGATTCACTTAACCATGTTACTAACTTAACAACTGCATTGTTAACAACTGTGGCAAGAAATGTCTTAAAATGGGCAACTCTTTTAACAACTGTCTTGTTTAGCAATGGTAATTTTGGGTTTAATTGTTGTAAGTCAAGGACTACTGTACTGTCTAACTCTAAAACATTGTTAGATAACAAACTTTTAATATGCCAGTGTGGGGAGAAAAAATGTATTGCTATTAACAATAAAGGCTGCATAGCATTAGTTGAATGGATACATGAACTTAATGTATAATCTCTACAGCATGGGGGTCAAACTCGCCGCGTCACGTGATGTGTCGCAATGTATTGCAACTCTTTTTGCATTGCCGGAGCCAGGGTGGGCGCAGCCTCCGTATGAGGCAACCGGCCCGCAAGCCAGCAGTTTGACACCCCTGCTCTACAGTATTTCTTTGTAGTACTGCTGGTTTGTCACTGAAAACAGTAATTAATCAGGCCATGTTAAGGAAGGCAAAATTAGAAACAGTGCGTACCTTGTTACTATTGGATTAGTGTTGATGCAATGAATTCCAACATCCTTTTCATGTAAGCCTGGATACTTTATTACTCATCACTCATTATAGGAAAGGGGATCAAAGCTACACTGATGAAGCAATATTGTATTGCCAGCCTTTATTTTAGAATACTTTGTGAGGATAGTAGATGTGAGCATATGCTAAGAGCTCCTATACATGTGTTTTAGAATAGAAAACTTTGACTTCAGGAGGAACATATTTAGAAAGCCTGTTGATTTTATACGAAACAAATCTTGTGACTGCAACACTAGAGAAAGCTGTGTTAGAGAAAGCTGTGCAATTCTATTCATATGTGGTCAAAGGGAAGCACAGCTCACTGGAAGCTATAACTGTGTGGAGTCTTGTACTGCATGGATTTATTTACAGTGGTACCTCGGTACTCATTATTAATTGGTTCCAGGAGGTGTGATGAGTACCAAAAACAATAAGTACCAAACACATTTTTCCATAAGAAATAATGTATTGAGTCACAAGGTAGCCTACACCGATGAATTCTAGCTTGTGTGTTGATTAACAAATGAACAATGAGTACTGAGACAAAATTTTTGCATCAAAATGAGTTGAGTATCAAATTCAATGAGTTTCAAAGCAGTTGAGTACCAAGGTACCACTGTATTTGCCAAGGGTTCTATGCTGCTAAATTCCTATAGGCTGTAAATGGCTTACAAAATCTATAGGGTTAAAAGCATTAGTCACATCAAAGCCTTAACCAACAATTGCGTAGGCCAAACCTCTCCATCCCTAAATATGTTTTCCAAACATCAAACTCTTTATAGCTATTTAGAAGCCCAAGGACTTCCTTCTTGGGTGTAAGCAGTGGAGATGTGGAGCCATTACCAAGAAGGCTTGCCTGCAGTTTTAATTTTTTATTTTTTTTAAATTCAGTTTTATGTGCGTGTATTTGGAAAAATGCTGAATCTCTGAAGTGGAGGTTAATTAATTGCAATGGATTCTAACACTATAATAACTATCTGTTTAGTTACTATTATATAATGTATCTACTTTTTCAGCAGTTGGGAATTAATCTTTCTGAATATAGAAGCATAAACATGCTCACTGAAAACATACTTTTGAACAGGTCTTCTTTTCAGGTTAGCATGAGTTTAATACAATGTTTTCATTTATCACTTCCATCTTTTCTGTTTTATAGCAACATTTTCATATATTTCTATCTTATTACTAGTGAATGTTATGTTAAGAATAATTTTATGCAATGGTGATGATCTGAGTAACTTACGTTTACTTGAGCCAGTGGCATGGATGACTGGGCCCTAATTTACCATAGAGGTGAGAATATTGAGAAGAAAATCATGTGGATACATCTTTATTTAATATATTCTCAATTTACTTTTTAATAGAAAGTAATTTCATGTTGCCTAATGTAGTGTGACTAAGAGGGACTCCACTACACATCTGCCACAATCCTTTGGTTTGCCAGTTGCAAAGACAAGAACAGAAAGATGGGAAACAGTGCCTTAAAAGCACATTTGGAGACAGCCCAAAAAACAGGAGTATTCCAATTAACTGGAAAAGGCCTTTCTGAGGTAAATGTCAATTTTGTGAACATATAGCACAAAAAACCATTTTCATTTACTCCGTAAAATGCTAGAAAGATAAAATTATATCTTGCTTTGAAATTCAGAATATTGTCTTTTTGATTACCATATTTATGGACTGAATTTGGCTATTTTAGATTTTTATATTTTGGACCATTTCAAGCTTGGAGTAGGCTATTCTGGTCTTATTGGAAATCCAATAAGTATAGTTTAAAATCAAAGTATTTTATTTTCAGCTTGATATTATCCAGTTTGTTTGTTTTTTTTAATCCTGAAACAAAATGTTTGTCTCAAAATGTAGCATTTAATGTTGGAATATTTCTGAATGCGTTCAATCTGAATGCAATATATTCTGCATACTTCTAATAAAAATGTTGAATATGTTCTATAGAAATGTTGATACTATTCTATATTATAGAAATCAGTTTAGATTTCTAAAGGTAGAACATTTAATGGAAGCTTACCCCTGTTGACCGTATTTAAAAATTGTAATTCTGTACAGTTTTACTAAAGCTCTCTGACTTGGATTTAATTTTTAAAAAGAAATATGACTTAATGGGCTGTTATATCCATTAAGCACCTGTGGCAGTTCATATTATATTTTATTTATTTTGATTTTGCATAATATGAAATATTCTATTGCATTGAGTTTTGTTTCTTCCAATTATGGTTAATTGATTTTGGAAGATTTCCCAATCCTTTTCCAATCTTTCATTATTTTGGGTATGTAAGATTACAAAACATAAATTTTATTACAAATCTTTCTGATTCTGTATATTTGTTGAAGTTTTTAATGCTTGGAATAATTTCATCAATATCTGAATTCTTTTTCAGTTTCCTGAAGATCTGCAGAAGTTCGCAAGTAATCTCAGAACGATAGATTTGTCCAACAATAAGCTTGAATCACTCCCACCTTTAATAGGAAAATTTTCTGTATTAAAAAGTCTTGCTTTAAATCACAACAGACTGAGTATGTTTACTTAAGTATTTTTAGCTTGCTATATATTGCATATTAAATAATGTTTCAGCACTAACAAAGATTTATTTGTAACTGCAGTTACTTGTTACTAAGGTTATGCATTACTGAATGCTAAGGTAATCAAAATTATTTTGATTTTTATGAAATAGGGACTTGGTCAGCTTGAATAATTTTTATTAATTGCTCTGTTGTTCTTTTCCCACATCTTCTCAACTGCAAGAGTTCTGATGAAAAGTGGAGCCTGTATATTAATGCAGGCAATTTGGCAGTATATGAGTAGAATAAATAAATTATATCTGATATATTATATATCGTATATTACAAAAGAACATTCCATTATATTACGAATGTTTATTCTAAGGAGCATTATATAGCAGAATAAAATATTCAGTCTTGACATTTTAATAATTGTTCTTTTTTCTTAGCAGCATGGTTTAATTCTATTTATAATTTATTGCTAGCTATATTACCTGAGGAACTCGGCAAGCTGAAAAAGCTGGAAATTCTACATCTGAACAGTAACCAATTGACACGTTTACCTAGCAGCTTTGGACAACTTGCAGCACTAAAGACTCTGAGCCTTTCCGGAAACAAGCTTCAAATTATACCTATTCAGCTATGCAGTCTTCATCATATAGATGTGGTGGATCTTTCCAGAAATCAGATCCAGACTATTCCAGATACAATAGGAGAGCTACAGGCCATTGAACTTAACTTAAATCAGAATCAGGTCTGGAAGTATATTTTTGTAGTTGAGCATTCTTATGTGTTGTCATAAATACTATGGGATGGAGATATAGTTAGTGCTATAAGCCAAATTTGACAAGAGGTGGTGGTGGGGGGGTTGGCATTAAAGGTAGTCTTCAGTTAACAATAGTAATTAGGCCTGAAATTTGCTAAACAATGTAGTCATAAAGTCGACGTTGTAAAGTGCCTTCACTTAGCAATGGCAACTATGACAGTCCCCATTGTTGTTAACCAAATCCCACTAGTTGTTAGGAGAGGACCCATCTTGATCCAAGCCATCTCTCCCTCCCAGCCTCAAGCCTGAGTAAGGTAAGGGACTGCCCCCTCTGGCCCTATATCCACCCACCTATCTTCCCCATCTCTCTCCTTGGCTTCCCTGCCCAGCGGCACTGCCTGGTGATGCTGGCAGTGCTGGTGGCGCTGGGGCTGAAATAGGGGCCTGGGGCCTTCAATCAGCCACCCCAGGCCTTTACTTCAGCCACAGCACCATCAAGTAGTTCTTTCTCAAGTCCCATATGGTGGTCAGGCACCCCAGTTTCACACTGCAAGGCCCTAGTCATCCTTGCTGTCCTGCACTTCACGAGCTTTGCCACACCTAGCGGAACTTTTCCATCTTCCGCTGCTGACAAAGTGCGCCTGTCTTGGCCTCATGTGAGAATGGCGTGCGTGAAATTACATTTGGTGCGAGCTGAAATGAGAAAATTACTAACATTCTTTTTTTAGGGACATTTAATAAAATGTCGAAATAGTTTTATTAATAAAATCAAGAATTAACTCTTAACATTCTAAACTGATGTTAACATTGATGGACAAAATATAAACCATATTGATCCAAGTTGATAGATTCATCTCTTCTGTGAAAATTAATAATACAATCACCTTTTAAATGTGTAATTAAGTGGAGATAGTCTGCAATTGTAACTATGCATTGTGCTGAAATTGTAGTAGGAGTTTTCAGCAATCCTATTGTCATGGTGGCTTGATTAGTTATAGCAAAACAAACCCAGTTCACATATAGTCAACAAATATAGGACTTTTTTTTTAGAAATATGAGTAATACTTTTTGTTTTCTTATTTAATTGTTCTAATTGCGGAGACATACTATGATCATTGTAATCATTTTTTTTTTCTTTCGCTTCTTTGGGCATATAACAGATTTCCCAGATCTCCTCCCAGATCTCTCGTTGTCCACGCCTCAAAGTTCTGCGCCTTGAAGAAAACTGTCTAGAACTAAGTGTACTTCCTCAGAGTATTCTTAGTGATTCTCAGATCTCTCTAATTGCTCTAGAGGGTAATCTTTTTGAGATCAAGAAACTCCGAGACTTGGATGGATATGACAAGGTTTGTTGGAAAATCCTATATATGTATTTCTCTTTTCAACTAATTCAGCAGTAACATTTTACCATATATTTGGGTAGGGTAGTGTTCAAATGACATCAGATGTTAAATGAAATCAGAAAGAAAATGTCTAGATAGCAATTTGTATGGCCACTTTAAGCTTGAACTCCTGATTCATCTTTAAGTTTTGAAAAATAGTTACAACATTTTCCTAATTAATAGATTAAAATATCAGAGTTGTATGAGTATTTCAAAAATATTCTCTGGCTTATTGCACTAAACCCCTGTACCTTTCAAATTTGTCAAAGTGGTTATTTAGTTTTATATTTAGTTATGAGTATCACAGCACTGTTATTAAAATCTTCATATGAGAGGTGGCATTTTATAAGGACCATGCCTATCAAAAGATTCCCTCAAACTGAACCTCACTTCTTTTGACAACATAGACTTCCCCATATAGGCTTCTTGACAATTGTGGTTTGTTTTTGCCCTTTTCTCAGATGTTTCTTTGACCTTCCAATGTAGCTTACAACTAACCAGGCCTGATCCTGCTTTTTTTTTTTAATCAGTCAAGGTTAAATAGATGCTGCCCCTTACTATTTCATTGCACATACAGGCTTTTATATAAAGCTATATTGTCAATTAAAACTTGCACTCCTATTAAACCTCTTTGGATCAAATTCAGCAAAACCTATGCAGTATGTTCTTGTTTGGTATTCATCCAAAAAACTTTAAGCCATAACTATCTGTGCGGCCCTATGCTATTCTGGGATCTCTTAGTCTTCAAGTGCGATGCACTATATATATTTGCGGAACATTGAAAACTGAGAAAGAAGGAAGCATGAAATACTATTCTAGTCCGATTTCTGTTCTTGGTTGTTGAAATCTATATAACTATGATTTAAAAGACTGCAATTTTAAAGTTAACTACAATGGACATTAGTGGCAAGTTATATTATTAAAACATGTGCCCTCTTGTATTGATTGAACACTACTTTATCAAACTAGCTATGAACCTCTTGTCCAACAGCAGGAGATTTAGGAAAGGAAAGATATTGAAACTGCAACTAGTCAGTAGAAATAGATTATGTACTAAACAGAAAAAAATAGGAAATCATGAAACTAGAAATAAATTCTTTGCGAGATATCTAGAACTTGATTAGAACTTGATTCATGTGGTATGTTTATCAATAAAACTTTTTTTTAACATTTTAGTATATGGAGAGATTCACAGCTACAAAGAAAAAATTTGCCTGAACTACTGTGCCAGTTTTATCTCGTGTATGAAAAGGCAACAAGAAATGTCACTGATGTGTGGATCCAAAATGCAACAAGCCTGTTGGGAGAATGACATTCAAGACTTTATATAAAGTCATAAGAGAACAGTGGCCTCCTGGTTTCAAAATGCCTTGATATCTTAGATCTCACAAAATGAATCCAAGAATTGGTAGCCTTGGATATAATGCTTAGCATCCACTTGTTAAGTCTCCATCTACAAGGATTAAGAAGAAAAATTCAAAATGACCTGAGATGAAGCGGCTTTATGACAGTTCCTGACAACTTCATACATAGGAGGCAAGGCAGATGGAGATAATGGGCTAAGTGTATAGGATCATCTGCCAGGAGGCTCACTAATTCAATATAGATTAAAGTCCATCTCTTAGCTTTAAATATTTTACAGTGTATGTAGGGCTGTAAAAATTACAGACAATAGAAGCACAAATTATGAATGAGCAGATAATGGCTTAATATACCTAATAAAAATAGTCCTATATTCACATCACAATCACATTCTCTAGATAGTTTGTCTTCCACTTGCTAGTCAAATAGTTCACCTTAGTGTGCTAAACTGATGGCTTGCATAATAAGATACTGTTTGCATTTGAATCTTCATGGGAGTAAAAACTCCATTGTTTGGGGGAGGTGTTGATCACTGAATTGATGCCTTATGCAAAAAACACCCATGAGTATTTAAAATATGCAACCTTGGAATAATTTACATGCTTTTTACAAAAGACCATACCTCCACAACTTTCTTAAACCTTTTGGCACCTTTTGACAAAATAAGCTGAAATATATTCTTATGTAATTGGAATGGCAAACATATGCAGCTGAAGCTTTCTGTAAAATGTACTGTTCGTGTAAATGAAATTTAAATTAAAAGCAACTCTACAACCCTAGGAAATGATCATAAATGAAAATGACTGGATGTTTTGACTTCCGGTTTATGTTACGGGATGGGATATAGGAAGGCAGGGCTCTGCCTTCCGCACCCGATTTCACCCTGCTGGGGGCCCTAAAAAGGGCCTAAAATCGTCCCGAAGAGGCAATGAAGAGGAGGGGTGTCTTGTTGATCACAGAGAGATGGCGGTCTTTCCGTTCGATCCAAGGAAAGCCCTCCAAATCAGCAGGGGAAAGACCGGCTACATTCCTGTGGCCATTAGCTGCTGACAACCGAAGAAGGGAAAAGCACTACTTAATATATCGTAAACAGCATGTTTGGAACTGGGTGAGAATACTGATCTTTTGTTTACTCTTTTACAACTGAACTTCCTGGGAAAGGCTCCCAAGAAGCTAAAAATCTCCAGATGTAAATGGAAGCTGCGTTTTAATTTTATTGGGGGCAGAAACATACAATACTGAGGTGGAAATAACATAAAGCTACAGTTTTGAGAACTGAGATAATTGTTAAGATTTTCTCTTTGAAAAAAAAATGGAAGTGAAATATAAGAAATCAATCCTTTATTTTAAGAGTGGGAAATGGATTTTGAATGACATCTAGTGGTGGATTTGTGTATAGCACCATAATTTGCTTCCTGGATACTTGGGGGAACAGCTGGCAATAAAGGAAAATATTTTGGCATACTGTCAGGTTCCCAAAGAAATTGTCTTTTCATGTTATTTTATTTTCTGTAGCTTTTCTTTGTGGTCTGCCATTCTGTTGGGAGGGGGGAGCTTTTGGGAATGCTTTGCACTGTCTGCTATGATGTCCTTCCTCCAGGGGATGGAATGTCTCACCCTTATCTGAGAGACGGTTTGCGCTTGGAGCCAGAAGAAATTGAAAGTTAGAAAGATCTTGAGGAGCCTGCCAAAAATACTGGTTACCAAAACACGATGCCACCTGTGGATTGGTTGGGATTCAAATGAACACTGGGACCCTGGGGGGGAGTAGTATTAAATGCTACTTTTAATATATTGCTTCGCGGGTTTTTCTCTCAGATCTTGCCTTGATTCCCTGCTATCACTAGCCCCCAATAAAAGTTCCTTTTAAGACAATGCCTGTTTCAAGAGTTCTGCTTTCTTGGGTGGCTTAGCTGAGGTAGGTCCTTGCATAAGGCAAGATCTGCATAGTGCCCAACGCAGAGAGGCAGCTGCCCTATCAAGGTGGGTTGCAACTGACATGCCCCTTCCTACCGGTGATATGGAAGAGGGTGAACTGGAGAGCTGGAGAGGAGATATTGTCCTGGCAGACCCCAGGGAAGGAACATCCAGGGACCTGGGAGTGGTTGAACTCTTGGCAGAAGGTGGCTGAGCCAGGTGGTCACTCGGGGTCAGAAAGAAAGAGGACTGGGAAGGAAAGGCTCAGAAAGTAACTCTCATGCGAGGTGGAGGAAAGAAGAAGGTAAAGAAGAACAATCCAGAGCCTGCCCGTCCCAAAAAGGGACTGATGGATCTGAATTCCGAGATGATGAAAGCCATCTTAAAGCACATGATGGAATATGTGCGAGAATCTTTTGAGGAACTGAAAGCCCAGCTGAAGGAGCCATCAGACTCGGAGGAGAAAGCAAGTGAAGAAGAGCTAATGGTGCCTGAGGCAGCAGCAGCCCCCTGCAGCAGTGGCACGATAGGACACACCATCCCAAAGACCCAGAGGGGCCATACCCCCAACCAGCAGAGGTGAAGCCAATTCCGTTGTGGGTGAAATTGGGGTTCTTCCTAGCCCAGGTGTTCACATATATGCAGGTATATGGAAGAACACTGCCTTTGGATGAGGAGAAAGTTAGACTGGTCACCCTAGCACTGGAAGATGCAGCAGCTGACTGGATGGTAACCCTGCACAACTGCAACGCTCTGGAGCTGAGAAATTTTAACTGCTTCATGGCACTCCGGTGTCGTTTTGAAGGCCGCCTGGCAGACAAGAAAGCTCGCGAGTGAAGGTGAAGCAAGGGCNCAGAGGAATGAGGAAGGCCAGCTGCAACCCTGTGCTTATACTTCTAAAAAACTGTCTGAAACTGAACAACAATGGGCGGCCTGGGAGAAGGAAGCCTATGCTGTGCGATTGGCCCTTCTAATACGAGACATTTCCTAGAGGGGAGCAAAATACCGTTCCAAATGTGGACTGATCATAAGAACTTGAAGGTGATGAAAACCTTAACATTAACAGTACCAAAAATTGTAATGGTGTAATGAGGGGGAAATGGAAAAAATATAGAGAAGAAAGGAGGATCAGGGAAAAAATACTGGATTGTGTAGTATTGAACAGATTCATAGTGAAGAAGTTAATGTTAAATATTTGAACCCAGACAACATGTTGTTTACTAAGCACTAAAGACTGTAATTTAAAAAATAATAATAAAACTTTTATTAAAAAAAGAAAATTATTGGATGTTTCATAGTTGAGTTGAAACGCACAATAACCCTTACATGATGTTGTATTCTTAGAAGTATTTTTTTCCATACACTACAGGTTCCATCTGTTTCTCATTTTTTCTACTGCTATTGTAATCACAACTGTAAAGTCCCATTATATCTTGCATATGTTATAAATCAACGATTGGTAATATGTGTGCAATAGGATAGGTAATCATCTTATGGTATTTCTTCTAACAGCATAACTGGGAATGAGAGATTGGAGGTGAACAGAGTTGGGTCAGTTATGAAACCTAGGAAATAGTAATAATTTCTCTAAGCTATTGGTATCAATTACTCCTTGCCAAACGATTTGTGATGCATTGAGACAGATAACTGGACTTTACCTCTAAAGTTCTGCTTATGTTAATATAAAACTAGACTTTGTGGGCTATTTTGATTCCTTTACTAGCCATTGAGGAGGCAAAAACAGTAATATAATTTTTAGCGATTTCATTTAATATAAACTTATATGAAATAAGATTGTCTGGTTTTTGAAAAACAACTTTGAAGATTTTTGAAAACATGCCATTCCTGTCGATTATAACTGGATTGGGAATGTTTATTCCTGTTTTTAGAACTTCCTGTAATACAGTATCTGTATTTGAGTTGTACAGAGACAACGCTTCAAGGTTTTTCTATTAATGCTGTCTTATTTGTTTCATGCTAATCTATGTCATTTTCCTAATTCTAATGAGTATTAGGCTTATTCAATAAACCATGTTTTAGTTTACATATTGCATTAAGCCTATGACTAAATATTCTCTTCACTTCCAATTCATCCTGTGACATACAGTGAGGGAAAAATTATTTGATCCCCTGCTTATTTTGTACATTTGCCCACTGACAAAGAAATGATCAGTCTATAAGTTTAATGGTAGGTTTATTTTAATAGCGAGAGACAGAATAACCAAAAAATCCAGAAAAACACATTTCAAAAAAGTTATAAATGGATTTGCAGTTTAATGAATGAAATAAGTATTTGACCCCTTTGCAAAACATGATTTAGTACTTGTTGGCAATCTCAGAGGTCAGACATTTCTTGTAGTTGGCCACTAGGTTTGCATACATCTCCGGAGGGATTTTGTCCCATCCTCTTTGCAGATCCTCTCCAAGTCATTAAGGTTTTGAGGCTGACATTTGGCAGCTCGAACATTCAGCTCCTTTCACAAATTTTCTATGGGATTAAGGTCTGGAGACTGACTAGGCCACTCCAGGACCTTAATGTGTTTCTTCTTGAGTCACTCCTTTGTTGCCTTGGCCATGTGTTTTGGGTCATTGCTATGCTGGAATACCCATCCACAACCCATTTTCAATGTCCTGGTTGAGGGAAGGAGGTTCTCACCTAAGATTTGATGGTACATGGCCCCGTCCATTGTCCCTTTGATGCGGTGAAATTGTTTTGTCACCTTAGCAGAAAAACACCCCCAAAGCATTTGATGGTGAGGATGGTGTTCTTGGGTTCATAGACAGCATTTCTCTTCCTCCAAACATGGCGAGTTGAGTTGATGCCAAAGAGCTCGATTTTGGTCTCATCTGACCACAACACTTTCACCTAGTTCTCCTCTGAATCATTCAGATGTTCATTGGCAAACTTCAGATGGGCCTGTACATGGGCTTTCTTGAGCAGGGGGACCTTGCAGGCACTGCAGGATTTCAGTCTTTCATGGCGTAGTGTGTTACCAATTGTTTTCTTGGTTACTATGGTCCCAGCTGCTTTGAAATCAATGACAAGATCCTCCCATGTAGTTCTGGGCTGATTCCTCACCGTTCTCATGATCATTGAAACTCCACGAGGTGAGATCTTGCATGGAGACCCAGACCGAGGGAGATTGAAAGTTATTTTGTGTTTCTTCCATTTGTGAATAATCGCACCAACTGTTGTCACCTTCTCACCAAGTTGCTTGGTGATAGTCTTATAGCCCATTCCAGCCTTGTGTAGATCTACAATCTTATCCCTGACATCCTTGGACAGCTCTTTGGTCTTGGCCATGGTGGAGAGTTTGAAATGTGATTGATTACTTCTGTCGACAGGTGTCTTTTATACAGGTAACAAGCTGAGATTAGGAACACTCCCTTTAAGAGAGTGCTCCTAATCTCAGCTTGTTACCTGTATAAAAGACACCTGGGAGCCAGAAATCTTGCTAATAGATCAAATATTTATTTCACTCATTAAAATACAAATCAATTAATAACTTTTTTCAAATGCATTTTTCTGGATTTTTTGGTTGTTATTCTGTCTCACTGTTAAAATAAACCTACCATTAAAATTATAGACTGATCATTTCTTTGTCAGTGGGCAAACGTACAAAATCAGCAGAGGATCAAATAATTTTTCCCCTCACTGTAAGTAAGGATTTTTTTTTGAAACTCTTTTCTTTCCATCTTGAAACTCCAGGGAAATTTGGAATTCCTAGATCTTTTTTTTTTCCAGCAAGGTGTCTATCCCATCAGCCCATATCTTGCTTTACTCAATGGAACTTCACCTACTGGACTCCATAGGGAGCTAAAAGCTGGATTCTTAACTGCAAGCAAAAACATTTACAGGGTATGTCTATTAAACAGCATAGGACAGTTTAAGGCCATTCAGACTTACACAGGCACTTGAAGAGTGAAAAGATTTATAAATTATATTTATTCAACCTAGCAAGTATACAGGAGGACATCTTGGGCATTCATTTACATTATAGCTAAAAACAGATTTGTACTGTTTGTCTTGTGATACTAAGCTATACAAAATTTATCATTTTTCACAAATTGTAATACCAGATGATTGTGGTATCAATTTTCAATTTTTATGTTTAATATTACTAAGCAAATGTTCATGGTTCCCATACAACCTAGTGATGAAATGTTACAGAGTACCATTTTGCTCAGCAGTTCAATTAATTACAGCTTGATAAAATATTACTAGAAAAAATTAAATATATAGAACTCCTGGAGGAATTAATTGTGTTGCTTCTACAGAATATACATTATTTTCCAGCCAAATCGTGTAATTTGTTTTGGTATTAATAAACGTAATTTGAGAGGGACGTGCACAGTTCTTGCACTATGCTCCAATTCCAGCATTCCATTGTACAAGATTATATAGAAGACTAAGCTTTATAATAAAAATTAAACATTCAGTTGGAAATGTGAAAAGAAACAAGGCATGAAGAAATTATTTAAGAACAATCACAGTACAATTAGGAGATTCATTTTGAACTTTATAGTATCTAGAATTGTTGCAGATAATTCTTTTAACTTGCAGCAAAACATGCAAGGACTAGAAGAACTTTATAGCTTCAAGTTGAATAAATACAAGTTCTACTAAATATTGTGCCGTTGAATAAATCAATAATTTGGTGGATTCTTAATTAGAAGAGAATTAAAGCTATCTTGTAAAGGAATGGGCATCTAGTAGATTTGAAATTTAGTCATGTCTACAGATACATGATAGAAAAACCAAATCAAGAACCTTAATCCTGAAATGGGAGTAAACTAAAAGAGGCTCTAGGTTAAGTACTTATTACAGCAAACTACACCATATGACCCATTCAACAACTTATAGCAGTGATTCATGGTGGTTTCCCTTGGATCCCTACTTCTCCTACATATTAACATTTTTAAAAAGAAAATTTGACAAGAAGCAATTCAAATTCAATAAATCATAATTTGTGGTACCTGCAGAAATATGCCACCATTTAAAAAAATTGTGAATTGGATCAAATTCTATTTTAATAACAATAAAATGGTGCTTGAAACTGATTTCTTTGAAAAGCATGAGAATGTATAGTCCAGATAGAAAAAATGAAACAGTATTGTTACTAATATCACTAAGCAGATGGCTTTTGACTTCATTCAAACTTAGATTGTGCCCTGATTTTAATGTTTTACCCAACATTTTAATAAATACAGTATTGAAATCACAATATGCTGCCTCTAAAGATTTGTACAGATTGTATGAATTGTTTATATTAAAAGGATAACACATTTCTATAAGGAACATTTTTATGAAATACGTTTGTACATTTTTGATAAAATGTTTTAAAAGATCCATATAGAGATTTCATAGACCAATCTCAGCAGTATTAATACCTACAGATACATTTTTTTTAAAAAAAATGGCAAAACTTCAGGATATTTATATAAAGACATATATTAATTTTCTTGCAATCTCATGAGATTCCAAATGATCAAGTGTAACATGTTCCATGTTAAGCTGTCTCAGTTGCCCTTTCCTCTAATCCCACTAACTTACACAGTTTCTGTGAAAGAAGTAAAAGAAATCAGGATTGAAAGTCCAATGTTTTGGAAACAAAAGTGGGAAATAAGTTTAAATTTGTCTGAGTTACATTTATGCATTATGCATTTTTGTATGTTTACTTACCTAATTTGCATGCAAATTAGAATAGCTATGGCTTGGAAGTATACTTTATTATATATCCATTATCATTTTTCCCCATCATGGAAAACTTGGTAATGAAATCAAATATTTTGAAAAAATAGGGGCAAACTTAATTTCTACAAATATGTACATTTCATGAAAACCAATCATCTACCAATTCAGTGATGACATGTAGTATTAAGTGAGGTAATTAAATCTAGTGAGTGCATCCTCTTTACCTTTAATCAGTCAGTTTGCACTCCATCTCTGAGTTGCCACAAGGAAAGTAAAGAAAAAAGGGGTGGTGGTAGTAAGACTAATCTCACAGAAAGTACAAAACCAAGGAAAATGAAGCCCTGAGGATACGAACATGAATAAGAAAGTTACACTTCTGTTGTGCTATTTTCCTGGATTTTCAAACTAAACGTACAATACAATAATGTTCTGCTTTGTTTCATTTTCTGAACAGTTGTTTCTCTTTGGAAATTGAGGATATTTGTAGAATGAAAAAAGATTTCAGTTGACTCAAAACTGGCAATGGCTATCAGTTCTCAATAAGCTTTTTGGCTTTTGTATTGGCTTGGTCAATACGGTCTTTGTTGGTTTCAGCCTGAAAAAGAAAACAAAATGTGACACTACTAGTAAATTATAAAGGTGCACAGAAACTATACAGGCCTCTTTATAGAAGAAATTGTATTTCTTCAAGAATATGGAGAACTAAAAGAGAGACATTTAAAGTTATATAAATAGAAAAAAAATCCCCTTTCTCAATTCATTCAGGATATGGCCTTTTGTAAACTGCTAAGCATTCTGTAAAGATTTATTGTATTCAAATGAAATGAAAGAAATTAAATATAAAGGACAAATTCCAGCATGGAGGGAAAGTACTCCACTGACTTGCTTAGAAAACAGCCACAGAAATTAGCCATGAAAGTATAATACTTAGGAGCAAGGAAGAAACTAAAGCAGCATAGATTTATTTACAAGAGAAAATCATTTAAATAAGCTGACAGATACAAATACATTCTAAATAATCTTCTCATTATTATACTACTACACTTACTTATATATATTTAAAAATTAACATTTGAAACACACTTTTTTAAAAAAAATATTAAAAAATATTTAACACTCATGTTAGCAAATATTTACCATCTATTTACTGCTCAGTCTAATGACTAGCACTTACTAATCTGTTTACATACACAAAGATACCAGTGGTAAGCTTATTGAGAGAAGCAAGGCAGAAGAATTACTTAGAACAAGAATTACTTAAGAAAATAAGTTCTCAAAACAGCATGGTCACTTTTCTTCATATTATAAAGTGCTGCTATGACTTTTAACAGGATTTGTTGATCACTAGTTTAGCAGCACTATTCATTAATTGTCTGAACACCCATCAGTAATAAACTTTATTTAAAATATTTATTCAAAATATTTTTTAGAACTTGCTTAAATCAATCTACCCTGATTTATATCTCATTTTCTCTAAAGATTGCTTGGTTTTAAAACTGGTATGAACTAATATCAACTTCCTTTTAATGATAAGGATATTTATTCTTTCAACCATCTTACTGCATTTGGATACTAAGAATCAGATATTCAAGGCATTCATTCCATAACTCCCTAATTTGAATGGGTCACCGCAACATGCAAAGCAAGAAAGTAAGATAATAATAAGCCTATAATCTTGGATACTCAGTGTGATGTCATGGACACTAAATAGCCACCAACACTATCATTGGTGTGTGCCAGGTTCTCTATCCTATCTGCATTATAAAAAGATTTAATTTACTAAAGGCATCCAGAAAAACAGGAAAGAGGATTAAGATAATTGATGTGGTTGTTTTTTTAAAAAAAAAACAGTATCTGTGATCAGGCCAGCCAATGGTGCTCTGATTCCAAAAGTCATTTTGAGAGTTGACCTATTAGCTACTGACTGCAATATTTATTCCTCCTCTTCCTGTTTCTGTCATGGCATTTTATATAAACAAAACTTTTTTTCTTGGCACTGGTTCATCCTTTACAGAATATCAGTGTTTCAGAGAAACAAGTGCAAAATGTTGAGAAAGTCCAGAGTCAGCATAGAGCAACTTCAGTGGTATTTATTCTATTCTGGGCAACAAAAATCTGCTTTTTAACCAACCAGGATCTGATCTATAGCTCAATGTGATATATATCTTCAGTGCGCTTGTTTTGTGTATGGGTAGAAAGGAACAATTCACTAATACCAGCATATCACCAGGTTGCTTGTGCTTTGTAAGGACAAATATGAGTTGCATCAGATTCCACATTTACTTTGTACTTGAGTTCTTGGGCAAATTGCTTTTTTAAAAAAGCAACATCAACATTTTCCTGGAAATTAGTGTTTTGTTATTCATTTTATGAATAGACAGAAACAATCAGAAGGCACATACTGTATAACATACTTTTCAAATGTGTTCCTCAATCCCAATAATATGGTATTTATTGGCATTGGTATTCATTTTATTTTTCATATTGTACCATGATGGAAATATTTCAAGTTCACAATTCCAAAGGATTCACCATGAAATCAAATTTAAATATATCCTAGAGAAAAATAATGCTTTGGGTGGAAGAATGTTATCCAGACAAGACAGCAAGGACACAATCTGTTGGCAAATTGGAAATTTGTACACCATGGTACTGTACTCCGGAACAATTAGCTACTCATCTCAGCAATTATGTCTCTGATAATTAAGGTTGTAAGGATCCAGTTCTCACTTCTTACCTTCTCGTTTATCCGGTCTATCTGCTTGTTTTGTGAATCGATCTCACTGCCCATATCCAAGGCCATATGCTTCAGATTTCCCAAGATGTGCCCCACTTGAGTTAAGTTATCCTCCATCTCATCTTCTCTGGCATCATTTGTTATCCTTTTCAAAAGATCAAAAAAAACCTACTTGAGTACTGGCAAGTTCCTTCTTCTTCATTGTAATGACTACCGGTAAATTCTCTCTCTCTCAATCTCTCCCTCCCTCACCTGTCTATACACATGCTCACACTAGTCAAACTGTCTCAGGGCAGTTCTCAATAGAAATTAAAAATCATCATCAGTTAAACTATTATAAAAATACCAAAGCCATAAACACATGATAAAATTAAATAAAAGAATCATAAACAGTCCTAATTCTGTCTCAAACAAACATTTCATAACTTCAGTCTTAAAATATATCTAATTGGCAACTTATAAAAGAGGTTAAAATAAGCCTATGTTTTTATAAAGACTTTTACACATTCCACCAATCGTGTTGCAAAATTGGATTCAAAATGTGTTATTTGGAATCTTTGAAAAATGACTAAACAGTGTTCTGAATAAACATTCACGATTTACACAGAATAAGCTTCTCGTGATGGTTTTCAATACCCCAGTACTGTGTTGTGGCTCCGTCTTGTGAACCCCTCTTATCGGAGGACGAAGGCTCTGAACATGAAGGAGAGGAGATGGCTAGGCCTCCCTCTCCAGGACCCTCCTCTTTGGCAATGCCTCAGGTGTCTTCCGACGGAGAAGAGATTGACCAGGAGCCAGGTGGTTCTGAGATTGGCCAGGAGCCCGGTGTTTCTCAGATTGGCCAGGAGCCAGGTGTGTCGGATAATGNCTGAATCTCTGGCAAAGTAGTGTGCTGTGGTTTTAAACTGTGTGTATTGTTTTTGTTTCTGTGTGTTTGGAGTAAAAGGTCTTGGCAGGCAGCTACGGAGCTGCTGCCAAGTTTCTTATCTGTGAAGTGGTGTCTGGAGAAGTCTTTAAACCCTCGGCTGGCTGTTTGGGTGTGTGGGTCGGAACGGGGACAGAACATACTGTTGCAGAACAACAGATACGGAATATGTATTTATCAGTGGAGGAAGAAAAGACTATTTACCGCTTTATGTATCCTCCAGCTGGTCCTCCTGAGGTCTGTTGTTGGTAATTTCCTGCTTGTCCTGGTTGTCTGGTTATTATATGATCACCTGAATTTTCAGAGTTCTCACCCCAAGTTGTCTTATATGCTTTACTAGTCTCAAAATTCCTTGTTCTATAAGAAAAATAGAATAGCTTCAACTAGCTAAAAAGATAAATACCCAATTTAAATTGAGCTACTTTGAAATAATATTAGGGAATGCCAAGGATTCTTTCATATGACGCTAGTAAATAAACCCAGCTTCACCACAAAATATAACCTTGTTCATACACTATCCAAATGTATATTAGGTCAATGTAATGCCTGACAAGTTAAATATGGTTCAGGAGAAGTGTGATCATAGCTTGTCACTGATTTATTCCTTTGAATGACATTGAGGGTGGGAGGTTAACCAAGGGAGGTTAATCTATACTTAATCCTGTTAATCTATACTTAATCCTGTCTTTGCAGCTTTTACCTTTTTAAATTAGCTACAGGTATTCCTCAACATACGACCATAATGAACTGTCCATTACAACTATATGTCATAACAATCATAAAACAAGTGACTGGCCTGATTATATGGCTTTTTGCAGCAGTCATTAAGTGGCGGTTGTAAAGTGAATGCGGTGATTTTTAAGCAAACCAATAGTTTACTATAGGTGTTTTGCCCAAAACAGGAAGTGCTGTTTTTTGGCAAAGCTATCATAAAATGTGATCACATGATCATGGGATCCTGAAGACACCCATAAATACAGCCATGTTGCTGAGCACCTGAAATTCAGTCACATGACCATGAAGAGAACCCAACCACTGGAATTTCAAATCCGAGTCCTAAGTCTCTTATTTAAGTCAATTGTAACTTTGAACAGTTCCTAAGCAATCAGTCATAAATCATGACCTACTCGTACAGTGTGGGTTGAAGCAAAATTGATGGAGGAGGTAGAGCTTCCCCCATCTGCCCAAGTCTGTGGTAATTCCACCCTTGATTGGCCTACCACTGTTTTTATAAGCATTTTTACAGAAATATCAACTAACTACTGCAAAGGAGGTTAGAATATCAGTCATCATAAATGTTAACCAACAATTTATGGCTATTATGATCTGCCACATCATGATGCTAAATTAAGGGATACAAATAGTCATCGACTTACAAACTTTTTTGCCATAGATGTTAAGCCAATTACTGCCAATGTCATCAGTAAGTGAATCTGGGCTCCCCCATTGACTTTACTTGTTGGAAGGTGCCTGGGAAGGTTACAAATGATGATCACATGACACTTGGGCACTGCAACTGTCATAAATATATGCCAGTTTCCAAGCACACAAATTACAATCATGTGGACACGGGGATGGTGCAATGGTCGTAAGTGTGAAAAACGATCATAAATCACTCTTTTCTGTGCCATTGTCACTTTGAACGGTCATTAAACAAATGGTTGTAAGTCAACGACTACCTGCATAGCTGGCTTACTCATAGTTAGCACCTGACACGCTATATCATATTTGGTATACTCAACACATATTTGGTATTCAGTAGAACACCAGAAGAAATCATCTTTGATTTGCAGCAAATCAATATGTACTGTATATTAAAGCACTGTAATTTTTTATATTAATAGCTGAAATAATATCCAAAATGATTCATGCCTTAGAAGCATTTTCCATGAATTAAAATGGCTGTTTGCTAACAAAGTTAGCATTTCTCAATATATAATATTCTACTTGCCCTCTAATGACAATGTGTTCCTTCTAAATCTACCCTGGAGGGGTGAGATATCAGATTTAAGACAAACACATGGAATGCAAGAGTGAAGAGAAGTCTTTTTGCATTGGTGTTCAATTTATTTTTATGAAATTCACATTCCCTATTTATATGTTCAACTATGTTAGCTCGTTCCTTACAAATTAGGTGTAAGAAGTTCCTATACTAAAGACAGCCAACTGATTTGCTTATTATACAAACAAATATGTACTTCTTAGCATTATATTTATGGGGCACCTTTTATTTAATGAATTGTATGGAAAAACCTAAAAAGCCAGCTTGCTGCAGTGGTTAAGGCACCAGGCTAGAAACTGGCAGACAGTGAGTTCTAGTCCTTCCTTAGCCATGAAGGCAGCTGGATGACAGTGGGCTTATCACACTCCCTCAGTTGCAAGGAGGCAGCAATGGCAAACTGCTTTTGAAAAACTATGCCAAGAAAACTGCAGGGACTGGTCCAGTTACCAGGTATCAAAAAACTAATCTGAAGGCACAAACCAACAAAATATTGAGAAATTTATATTGTGCTAATTTCACCAAATCATGCATCAGTTAATCATTATCCTAATGGTAATAAAAATGGTAATAAAAATTACCATTTTTATTAATAGAATAAACATTCTATTCCAACATTCATATAACCAAGATAAATCTTGTATGTATTGTTTTATGCTGTATTATTCTATAACAGGGGTCTTCAAACTTGGCCCTTTTATGACTTGTGGACTTCAACTCCCAGAATTCCTCAGGTAGGCACAATGGCTGAGGAATTTTGGGAGTTGAAGTCCACAAGTCATAAAAGGGTCAGGTTTGAAGACCCCTGTTCTATAATATCTAATTTTTATTTGGTTCTGGACTTACCCCGTACAGTGGTACCTGATATTTTTAAACTAAACATAGGAATCCTGAGGCTATGGGCATTTTTACAAAACAGTTGCATGCTGAGTAATACTTGACAAAAAAACATTTTTCCCCATGTGGTAGATCATAGTTAAAACAATATGTGAACATTATCATAACATTTCATATTATTCCTCCAATATTTTTAAATCTATGTATAAGCTATTATTTCCTGAAAAAATCCTAATAAGACTTAAATTGTATATCAACTGCTATTTGCATTCTAAACATTATAACTATTATTTCAGATCAATCAAATCAGAATAGCTAAATATAAACTACAAACAACACAGCACAGATACAACTACAGACCATCACAAGGTTGCTTGCATGTTAAGAAAACATGCACAATCAGACATGCATCATGTTAGAACATCACCTTCAGACAGCTGGTTAGCAGTGCAAACTGCTTCTTAATACAGGGTTTTTCCTAAATTCCATTTTGAATAGTTAAGTGGATCCAACCTCTGATGTTAAATCTTCATTTTATTAAGAAGGAAAAATGGGGTGATTAGGAGAGAATGAAAAAGAGTGAACAGTAAGACAAGCAAGCAGATAACTATTTGTTAGCTGACAAACTATTTCAAAGTATAGCTGAGAGTATGCTATAATAAGAAAACAGCTTTAAAACAAATCAGGAAGAAAAGAAATGTTATGAATATTATATTCAAAATTTGTAAAAATGCTGTGCTATTCTGACAAAAAGTCATTTAATTTAGCTCTAGGAACGGAAGAATTTGATTTCCTTTCATCTACTTCAAATCCATTCAATTCTTCTTCCGTCTCTATATATTTGCCTTATATACTATTTTGTTATCAAGCATATCAAAAATTCCACAAAATTACTTTTTCCAATGTACAAAAATTTCAACTATCACAAAAACTTCATACTTTTCAGAGTGAGGGATAAAAATGTACTATTGGGGGAAAAAGATTATTACACAGCACATCATGCTTTCCTTGTAATCCTTCATTAAACTGACACATATCTTGTTCCCACCCAGTGAAGCTGAGGGAAAAATTCTACAACTTTCCCATGAATTGTTATTTTAAATCTGATTGATATGGACAATAATTCCTTCCACATACCTAATAGGTAGTTTAAAATCCAACCCAAGCTTGTACTAATTGCTTTAGCTTCCCTATTCCAATATATTACCAGATTTAAGTCACAGGTACATTTGCACATCTAACTAAGCCTTATAGCGCCTAACTACTGGTACATAACCACTGGCTTTTCTTCACTAGTTGGCATAGCTTGAAAACAATTTAAACATTCATTGTTTAAACTTTATTATGTCATCCACTACAACTTCTATTTGTCATTACTAGAAAATCAAAACCAGAACAAATCCACCAAATTTAAAACATTCTGATCATTATTTTATTCACAGGTTACCCTTATGAACAAATACAATTAAGTCTAAATAAGCATTTCCCAACTTCTTCCTTTGTAGGAACCACTACACTAAGCAGAATGTTTTTGTGAATTGCAAGAAAATCAAGGGGACAGCCATACTTGGTGGTTGTCATGGCATTGGACCCCAACATTACAGTATTTTTAAGAAACAAATACATTTTTAAAAGACTGAAATTTCACAAGACATCAACGATCTTGTCTCAAATCTTTTAAAATTTGGGATAAAAATGCCACAATCTCATGGCTTTTCAAATGACAATAATGAAAACTTTATTTTGGATCTACACTACCAACCACTGAAACAAAAGTGTTCAAGCTTCATAGATCTGGAGAAAGGAGCAATCATTCACACTTGCATGCACCCATAAAGTTTTGGATAATACCCCATTGGAAAACCTGAAGGGGCAGGTTGGGGGTCAGATCATCCCAGAGAAGGTCATTTTTTGTAGTTGTTCAAGAATCTACCTGACTTAATAGCACATAAAGAAGACCATATGAATGCAGTCAGTGGCTTGGACAATGTTAAGGTAAAATGTGATTGCTTTGAATTTTGCTTATCATGTTATGTGAACCCAGTTGCTATTGTTTGTAAACATAGTTTATGGCTTAGGATTATAAGTGAACACAGACCATGGTTTAGCACACTATCCAATTTGTGTTTTGAATTTTGTAGCAGTTTTTTTCCATCAGAGAGAACAATAGCTTAATTAAATTTTCTAGTCACTGAAGTTCTAAACAGGAGTGATATTTTTCCTTGAAAAAAGCATCTTACCAATCTGCTTTTAACTGACCTATTGCACGGACAGACACAGAGACCACAGCACTTATTAAGCTCTGTCAAGTTCTTTTCAGCTTCTTTCATGTCTTTGTTTATTTGATCCATACCTTCTTCTATGTGGTTTAACTTTTCTAGGAAAAAAAAGAAGCTTTAGAAACTTTAAATAACGTAAATGTTTAGACTTCATATAGGAAGGTCTGCATTCAAAACACTTTTTAAAAAGCATTTAAAAGCAGTTTAAGAAGTGTTAATGTTTTTGGAAACTACTGCAAACCTGTGGACAATGGCCATGCCTGTATCCGGACTGCATTAATTATGTATCTTTATTATGTATCACTATGAAATAGACTTCTAAATTTATAATCAAAGATGCCATATTGTTCTTTATTACACTTGTGCAACTCACCGCCTTGTTCATCTAACATGGTAATGGTTTTGATTCCAGCATCTTGGGACTATAATAGAAAAAAAGAGAATACAGAACCACTACACCATGGAATTAGTATAATGACACAATTTGCTGCAGGCTATTGTGTGGAGAAACTTCTAAATAATTACATAAAAATTTATCAGCATAAATACTACTATATAAAATTTTCTTCTAGGTAGAATAAAAAGGTATTCCAATATGGCAAGTTATTTTGTAATATAAGCTGTAAGTAACTGGTGAATTTGTTGCTTTTGTTTATTGGTCCTACGATAAAATCATTTCAATTTTATATAAGTTTCATTGTTTATTTTTATTTAAGAACATTTATATGGCTGCCCAACTTACTCTCAGTAACTCTGGGTCACTTGCAAAGATACAAACCTGATATTAAAACAATTAAAAAGCAGAAAAAGAAGAGAAAAAAGCAAAGAAAGAGCTATTGCTCTTTCTAAGAAAATCTGAGAAATACTTCCATACATGTAATGCTTGATGAATGTAAGATACTCAATTTCATTTAATGTTCTCCACCTGATTTCCCCCCTCCACCCCCCCCAAAAAAGCCTTTAACCTCTTCCTTACCTCAACAGCCATGCCAAGGATCCTCCTTGTGCTTTCCAAAGACTAAAATAAAGATAGATTTCATTTCAGGCATGGAGATTTTTCAAGATATGTAATAATTATATAACTTTAGACATTGCTTTAAGTAAGCAATACAGTATACCCTTGTTTCTGACACAATGCAACTACAGTTTTGTCTTAATTAGTGATATTTTAAAAATCAACATTATTATGCAGCCACTATTTTCCAGACAAACCCTCTTTTTAGATTTGGTGTAAGTCTGCCCTCTTGGAATCTATAAACTTTCTTTTTAAAGAGTCTGAAGTTTGTTCTATTGCGGCAGTGAAGAAGAGCAGAAATACAGCATTAGCAAGGCTCTATCTCTGCCTTCCAAGCCTGGTGAAATTGCCCCTTGATGGTCTGTTTTGGCAGGGTGAAGAGGATGGGAATAGAATTGTTGCAATGGCTGATTCACTCTTACCTTCTCTAAGGGAAAGTATGTAAGAGCCCTCCCAAAAGAGGCCACCTGCTAACCCTGACTTTGTGGGGCTAAAATATAGTCTGGAGGAAGGAGGCATGCTAAAGTGCGGCATCTATAATATTTCCATCTTTTCTTTTTTTGCATACCATCATTGTTTTCTCCCAGTTCTCTTACTTTCATTATGATGTCCCTACTATTCCCTGGCTACTGTGCTAAGAAACAACTTCAGCAGAAGTAGTTGTTTCCACAGGTTAATCCTGAGTTTTATATATATAAAAAATAACTTGCAGCATACTGAGCTTGATTGTGCTTTTTCATGAGTGATATTTATTATGGGGAAGGGAGTCTGCATGCTGGGCTATGTGTAACACATAAACAAGGGTCTCCCCTTCAAAAAATTCATTAATCCTAGGGGAAAAAGTATTTTTGTTTTCTAAATTCAAGTGATTTAGATGAAAACCTCCCCCCTTCAATGCAATATTATCAAGCGATATTGTATAACCAATCAATTTTAGTGGAGATCATGCACTGTAAAAAGTTTATCTACCCAGATTATTGTGCAACAATATATTTGAGGTGTTTACCTCATCTGTAACTTGATGGGCTTTCAGTTGAATTTCTTCAGGTGACAACTCAGCCATGATTGACACTTGTTTTTCAACATCCAATTATTCACAACAGGATTTCTTCTATAATAATAAAGTATCAGTGGTAAGGGTATAATCTTGACCAGTTTTATGTAATATAAATTTGTTACAAATAAAGTGTGTCCTATTAAATTTTTATTTATTTATTAAATTTATAACCAGTTTAGTTGTCAGCTTTCTAGAAAGAGGGGGGGGGAATCAAAATTTCAATATTAGAATATTCTATAAAAATGACAGTAATATAATGAAATACAATACTTCATGTATGTATTTATTGTTTTAATCAGTTTATATGCCCATCCATCTCAACAAGTGACTGTTGGCTGCAAACAAAATTAAAATAAAGTAAAAATAATTACAAGCATTACCAACACTGAAACACAAAGTAGCCAAGAAACATCAAACTCAAATCATTAATGTAACCAAGAAGTGGCTCCCTGCACACAATCATGGCCCCAGGTCCAGGACTTTAGGGTCTTACAAAAGGCCAGCAGGGACAAGGTCATCCTGATCTCCAGAGAATTAATGTCTTTAATGGTAGAACTATGAGCAGTATCCAAATATCCTACACTGTGTCTTCATTATAAAATAGCAGTTTACATAAAAGTTACACTTCTACATAAGTTAAAAAATAAAGAGAAGTCAAGTTTGCTCCAACTTCTCTCTTGACCAAATGATTCTCATCCAGATAGTTTTCCATAACTCTTATCAATTTTGGACGTTGATTGATTTATAACTTTTTATCAATGTTCCTGCTTTTTGAGGGCCCACCAATCTTTTTTAGATATTAATGAATATAGAACTACAACTGTTGGGTTCAGGCAAAATTGGATATATTGTATTGTTTTCTTCCCCAGAGAAAAATACATTTCTAGTGAAGCAATTTTTCAAGTGCAGCAGCTGGGACCAAACAAAAATGGAAGAAAAATGTTGCTCTTTATATTGCAGAATGTCAACAGAAGAGTAACAAAATGCTTATTTCCCACATATTCAGTAGTAGCTTCAAATCTTTACTAGTGATTTTGAGTATTTGCAAAAAGAAAAAAAAATCTAATTTTGCTTTTCCTGGCAATTTTCTCAGACAGTACCCGGCAATATGCAAAATGTTAATAGAAATTAAGTATGAGGAACAAAACCAGAAACTTTTAAAAATGAGCTAAAGACACAAAAGGTAGTTTAGAGTATGCACCTGTAAAATAAAATATAGAAGAGAATCGTAATAATTATGGGAATAGTTTTAAGCCACAAGTCCTATTATTTATAAAATTTATTCCTCCTCTACATAAATCATCATCTCCTAATTTAATATCTAAAACTTTGTATAAGCCTCTTATAAAATTTATATGAAAATAAAAGTTACTCTATCATTTATCTACAAGTGTAACTTGGAATATAACAACAAAACCTAAACTTTGAAATAATAGCTTTATAGAAGCTTAAAATATATCTGTATTAGTACATCCAGTATTAGACCAGGACTGAATAGTGCAATTGCCAAAAAAGAGATCTCCAAAAGCCACTTAGATTAACATAGTCTTAGTCTTCCCAAACATAAGCTTTAAGAGATTGAGGAACAGATAGCCTGGACTTGTTCGAGCCCTTGTCTTAAATTCTACCATAATTAGAGAAAATTACAGACCTCACCTTTGCAGTTATGCTAACTAAATGTGGAGTAATTTCTCCAATTGTAATCCATCTTTGTAGTGTTGGGCAACGTGTCACTCATGGGCATACTGCTTATGGAGAGATATCCTTGTATTCATGAAAGGCCTAGCTAATAGTTTGCAACAACTTCTTCAATTACTTTCAATTTTCCTTTAGTACTGATTATTCTTTTTGGGGGGAGGTGCCATCTGTTATAGATACTATTTCATTTCTGGGATGTATTTGCAGAGAGTTCAAATTAAACAAACTTGTCTTAAATAAGACTGACAATTATGTTTCAGTTGCCTTTACTAAATAAGTTCACTATTCAAATCTGAAGAAAATATCAAACATTCATAAATAGTAAACAAAAAGATGGTGTTAACTGATGCACAGAAGGACAAAGACAATCTGCATGCAGGACAACTGTAACAATGACAATGGCAGTTCTGACTTGCCAGATAGAAGAACTATCAGATCTAAGTAGCTACCCTCAGATAAAAAAGTCTGCAAGTTGCTCAGATTTACCTCTGGTTCCTCCATTATTACTAGTCACTGGAATGTAACATACAATTATCACCAAGCTATGGATACTAGTTCTATGCACACCTATAACTCTTAGTTATCACTTTATATTTTTTGACATACATGTCATTCATAATTTTGTACCTGTAGTTCCTTGAGTATATTTACAAAGTCCATCCTACTGTATCAGACCATCTTCACTCACATCTATTAGATCCTTCTTTTTTCTCTTAGTTCCACAAACACAGTGTTTCTTTCATTTCACTTTGGAAATTACCTTCCTTGCTTTGTGTTTACATGCCTAGTCATAGTCCTCTATATGCTGTGGTAATCACCAGATAGGCCTGTAAATATTGATCTCCTGGACCCATGGTTTGGTTAACTGACACTCTCATATTATACTTTTTAGTAAGAGGAAGAGAGAGTAGACTAAGTTAGTGTCCAATATACAAGGTTCCTGTAAGGGCAATGCTGGTCAATTTTGACAAATTTGGCTCACTAGGCCACAAGCATAACCTAAGCAACTCTTACTGCATACATTCTCATGCTATTCTATAAAAAGTAAGATTTCTAATCTAGGACTTTCTTACAAGTTAACATATTATTGCCTGCATTCTATGCAGTGTTCAAACTTCAAGATGCTTTCATTTACCTATTCTTGGGATTCTTTTGTCACAATTAATAAAATGAGAAGAAAAGAAACAAGTGACATTTCCAAAGTATTGTGTGAAAAATACAAAGTAACAGACATTTATGCAGTTTTACAACTTTTTTCATTTTACAAGTCAAAACGGGAACTTCCGCAATTTACTAATTGTATTTTAGTTTTAAAGGAGTGAAGACTGCTATTTAGATATATACTGTATTACTATTTGTGTGCCATACAATATTTCCAATTTCCATCAGAAAGAAATGTGGAGAAATATTAACTCTGAATGTCCCTCTATTCAAGGAGAAAGTACAGGAGACATATGCCATTCTACTGATGGACAGAGAAAAAACATGATCTTTAATGAAAATCTTATTATATATATATGCCATTCAGAAAAGGTCTTCACCCTTCTCAGGGATCCCAATTTATTAAGATATAATATTAGGACATATTTTCAGCAGAAATCATTTGTTCTTCTGAGAACTAATTATGAAACTGCAAAAGTAATCAAATCCTCAAAATAGAGAAGCAGAAATTTCTGTCAACTGGCTTATATTGGACTGCATTTGTTCACTGATAAATTGCTATTAACTGATGAACTTGATTCATCATCCATGCTTCCCAAGCCCAAACTTCAGATGAGAAAGGTATGTGAATGGAAATCCACTTGCAAGATAAGACAGTGATGTAACTAAAGAACTGATTTTTTTTAGTTTCTTGGGGGCAATTAGGACAGGTATGTTAAGTCTATCAAATGCTTAATGTATCCATTTAACTTTCATTTTATACTTAAAAATGTACTATTACAGTCTACCATTTTGCCACTAAAATGACAATGAATACATAATATATGTGTACTGTAATTTAGGATGAAGTCAAAAACTTAAATATATGAATAAACAATTGATTTTCCTAAGTACCTATGAGCTTTCATCTAGGATGGAACTTCTTATGTAAATCTGTTAAATTACATACAAACTACTTAATTCTGAAAATGAAAAACAAAAGAAAGGCTACAAGGAAATAGTTGCGTTACTGAACTATATTTCCCCAAGTGTTTGTCCAGTAACTAAAGAATTTTGTAAGTGGGGATTTTTTTTCTTATAAAGGGAAGCTGATTTTGCACAACTCTCCACTGTGAAGGAATACTAGTTAAATCTGAAAAGGCTTCCAGATTTTGTTTCCTGTCCTTTCTTCTATCCATTCTTCTGCCCTCTTCCAATCTGCACCATTTAGTGGGGAAAGAAAAAAGTGAAAACTGCTACTGCTTCCTGTTGCTCTTGTTAAGGCTTTTTAAAAAATGCAGTAAAAAAACAGATGCAGCCAAAGGGATAATACCCACTACTATGTCAATCTTTTGCTAAAGTCTATGGTGAAGGCTATAGCTGTAAGACACAAAAATATTATAATAAATCCCTCTAGTTTTATGCTTCTCCCCCTAACAGTGAAAAGCCCTAAAACAAGTTACTAAAAACCCTCTCCAGAGTTCCTGCTTTGGGCTGCGAAGTGAAGGTTCAGCAAAAGGATCCCCACAAACAAGAAATTGCAGCGCAGCCTGGAGAGGAAGCCAACCGGCAGCATTCCTCCAGAAACCCAACCGGCCCAAGCCGAGGCCTAACCCGAGAAGGCAGGACAGCCACGGGCGCTGCCACAACCACCGAGGGGTGACAACTCCTGTCCCCGAGATCGGCCTCGCTGCCCGGCTCCGAGGGATGCTGCGGCGCGACCCCCCCTCCCGCTCCGGCTTCCCGCGCCCCTTCCCTTCCTTTCCCTTCCCTTCCTCGCCCAGGACGCCTCGCCGCCCGCTTTTTTCCTGGACTGCCCTGCCGCCGCCTCGCCCAGGACCCAGCCCGCCGTTTAACCCCTTGGCCCCCGCCTTCCTCCGGCGGAGGAGAAAAGCCTCCGAGTCCCGCGTCTCCAGCACCCCGGTGCCTTCGGCGCTCCAGCCTGGCTCAAGGGGGCCTTTTCCGTCCGCCCCCTCCCGGCCTCCCCCGCCCGCCCGCAGGCATTCCTCGCCCGCGACCGGCAGACTGGCTCGCCCCTTCCTCCTTTCCTCTGCCCGCCCGGCTCTCGCTCTCCCTGCCGCCCCTTCCCTCCAGAGACTCACCCCGGCGCTTCGGGGGCAAAAAGCCCAAACCCGCCCCTCGGCTTCGCTCCACTCCGCCCGCCAGGCCTTTGGGCGCAGCTCTCCCGCTCTCTCCGCCGAGGGGACTAACCTCGCGCCGGGTCTTCGGAAGCCCCTTCCCTCCGCCGAGCCCCACCCAGGCAGTTTCCTGCAGCGCCTTCTTCTTCCCTCCGGTTCCTTCGGGGCCCAGCTGTTACCTCCTCCCGCCTCCCTCTTACCCGGTCTCTGAGTCGCAGAGCATTGGTCGCTTTGGGAAGCATTGCTAATAGCTATTGGTGGGAGGAAATGGTCGTCACGTTTATCTTTCGCTTTCTCAGGTTGTTGATTCGCCTTTAGCATCCTGTTGGCGCTGTGTTTATCTTCTAATACAGGGGTAGTCAACCTTGGCTCTTTTATGACTCGTGGACTTCAACTCCCAGAATTCCTGAGCCAGCTAAGCTGGCTCAGGAATTCTGGGAATTGAAGTCCACGAGTCAAAAAAGAGCCAAGGTTGATTACCCCTGTATAATAAAACCCCGTTCACGGTACAAAAGCTATGGTAAAATCAGATCAGATTCCTGCGGTATGGATGTATTCCCTGACGACGTATCTTCTAAAAACAAGCATAAATAATAATAAAAAATAAGCGTTTCTGTTTCTATATGTTTGAATATTAGTAGTTCGGGTTGGTAGTTGGGCTGTTGGTTTGATCTCCGAGGTTGGCGATTTGGCTGCAAACGTTTCGTCTCCATTTGGGGGGGGGGGATATCTTCAGTGCACTTTGAATTGTGCTCGTCTGTTTCTGTTTCTAACATGTACTACGTGGCCCATTGACCAAATCATTCTTCGAACATATCAGCACGAAGATAATATACAAAATGCTGAGCGCTCAAGAAATATTGCATACCGTCCCATCTGGCAATTCCCTCTTTGAACTATAAGCATCTATAAGAGCTTTTGAAATATTAAGTCAGTGTCTCAAACTTTTCTCTCTCTCAGGATCCCTTGTAATGTTAACTGTAACTCATATAAACAAAAGCTCTTTTATCAGTATTTACGGTATTAAAAAATAGAAATGATGTATTCACTGCTGCTATCTCTTCTCACAATTGTTTGAGGGGATTTTAATGTTGTATTACTTTTTAACATAAGTTAGCATATAATTTGATTTTGGAGAACCCTGAGGAGGTCTTGGAAGACCCCCACGAGTCCTAGAATCACACTTTTCTCAGGGTTTATATGAATTATTTACATTTGTTCAACCTGAAGCTCCAGACATATTATAGATTACTTATAACTGTATAGAATGAATAATGAATCAAATCAATGATTTGAAGGTTTCTGGTACCATCATGGACAAAAAACATAGAATAAGACATAGATCCCCTTGATGTCACAAGTAGGAATGGAGTGTGGCATATGTGAATGATACCCAATTGTACATCTCTATCTATACTGTGCCAGAGATGTCAAATTCTGGTTTTGGTATCTAGAAGTTGTTAAATGGGGTGAAACATATTAAAGCTGAGCCCCCAAACAAGGCAGAATTGCTGTTAGTTCATTGCAATGTTATGTTGATCCTGGTACTGTCTCTGGAGATGGAAGCACCATTTGTGAATGGACCAATGTATATTTGGTGATTTTCCTGAATTCACAGCTATTGCTGAATGGTCAGGTAAAGATTATAGCCCAGAGTGCCTTTGGCCAGCCTTGGTTGGTGGCTATTTGTAACCCTACCTGAAATGTGAGAGCATTGTAACATTTATTCATACCTCTTCTCTGGGCTACTGCAATGGACTCTAAATAAGTCTATTTTTGAAGACCATTTGGCAACAATAATTGGTACAAAATTTAATACTCTACATACTCATGCCTTGGATCTACTTCTTTCCTATATTTGCTCCTTGAATATAAAATGATGATTGATTGTTACATACAGAAACATGGAGTGCCTCAAAAGATATGAATTATGAAAAAAGTATCTTTGGTGAAATGATGCGGTGCAAGAAATCATGGATGAGGAAAAAAGTATATGAGAATATGAATGTGGCAATGATCTGAGAATGAAAGAGGTTGCATCAAATGTGTAGAGAGCAAAACATAGTTGAAATGATGTAGTCAAAGAGGTATTCTTCTGCCTATTTTTATATAATTGTTAAAACAGTATATATTAAGAGAAACTTAAAAATAAGTTGAATAAAGTGGTAACAAAAATACTTTAAAAGTGTATGCAATAAAGGGATTGGGTCAAGAATGAATTGATGTTAAATGAATACATTGAATTGAATACAAAAGCAGGTGACCTGTTTGAAAATAGCACATTGAGGTGATTTGGTCATGAGAGTACAATGAATGAAGATCAAATTGCAAAACAGAAATATGAAGGGAAAATAAATAGATTGAATTGGATAGAGTTGGTAATATCCTCAGAAAGAGAGATGTGGGATGTAAAAAGGGAGATACTGAAGAATAAAAGGCAATTTATGAATTGATGTATTGATATGTTGGAAGCAAGGATGGTTTGCAGAGATACAGAGGTACTGTTCAAAGATATACTGTAATGAATTGTGTTGTAGCTTCCCCCCCCTTTAATCTCCTGCCTTCAATTTCTTTGGCTCATACATTCTTATTTCTGCACTCTGCATAAAGCTACTAATTGTAAAATGGAATACTGTAATCATAGAGAGGCATGGGGCTGCCATAATTAATGGGATCCATGATTATCATAGCTCATTCTGTGAAGTCATATGCCTTTCTCTTTTTGATTATTGTTTATGGTGGTTCCCATGTAAAATAATGAATTTTATTAAAAATCCATGCCTTGAGCCAATAATTTCTGTTACTTTTATACCAAGGTAATGTGAGTGGTAATTTGATAGTGATTTCATATGGGTCCATGTAAAAATAATTATGTAGCCCTTAGTGCTCTCTGAGCTTTGCTGTTTGCTTGCAGATGTTTTATTACCCATCTTGGTAACATCAGCATTGCAAACAAATTGTGATGCAAAAACACCAGATCCATTCTTGTTGGGTTTCATAATTATGAGTTATTTTATTGTTTCATGTAGATCCTGTGTAAGAATATAAAAATGATATGAATTTAGTAATATCCATTCTGATTTCATGGATCTGACATTTACTTCTTTAATAGGAGACAACTAATAAGGCCAGTTATCCACAAATAAATTTTAGTAACATCAGTACATAATCTTCCTCCATCTGTCATGCTAAATTAGTTTTATTCTTCAACATACACGTTTTTTTTGTTATTTTTTTATTGTTGTGGTGCTAGTTGTTTGATTTTAAAAAGATCCTTTTTTGCAAGCTTCTAGAAGCACTATCCAGATTTTCAAGTCTAAACTAGCAAAAAAATGATAACATGGTTGTAGCAGGTTTTTAATAGTCACCCTGATACCAGGTACTTTGTAAAACAGAGCTTCAGCAATAAACTATGGGCCTTTTATCTTACAAAGCTAGAAACAATCACATGTAATCTATCAATAAATAGGAATTATCTGCATGACTGTGATTCATACTTGAGTTTTGTATTCATTGTGATGTTGGGTAAATTAGTGTTTATGTATCATGTGTCTTTTCAAGCTACTTAGCCTGGGCTTGAAAATTAAACGTGGTCAAGCTAAGCAAGTACTGTACATGCAATGGAAAATGAGCAGGAAATGCCAAGGCTGTACTGCAAGTTACACTGAGAATAAACAGGAAAGGCGATGTCAAAGTACTTCCCTCTGGTTAAGATAATTATACTGTATGTTTTCCTTAAAACCACCAGGAGCTGAATTTAAAATAAGGGACTTTTTCGTTTTATTTAAAAACACTCAAAGGTAATCTGTTACTGCTGTGATAGTGTTAAGCCCTTTGAGAACTTGCTGCATATATCCATTTTGTCTGGAAAACCTTCATTTTCAGTTCACATTGTCAACCGCTATTAATTTGAAGCCATGCCTTTTTATTTGGAGTAAGGAGCAAAGATGATTTCCTCTACGCAAATCTCATTCAGACAGCACTCGGAACCGAATTAACCAATGGCCCGCTGTACAAGCCCAATACAGTACTTGCTGACAAAGGTAAGCCCCCCCCCCCAAAAAAAACTACATCTACCAAAATGCATCACCCTCCGTTTGTTTGAATCAGAGATACTCAGTGGGACTCATTTCCTGTTTCTATGGTATTGCAAAACCGGCTTCTCCGGATTGCAAACTACTATTCCCAGAATGCATACGAAAAGAGGATATGGCTCTCTGATTGGTTGAAACTATATGAAGACGTTCCCGGCCTGTGGCGCGGTTCTCTTTTGGGTCGAGCTTGCTGGTCTCCGGAGGAGGCTGCACCGGCAATGGGCGGGGTTTCGGTAGCCCATCGTGTTGGGTGATGCGCTCGTTCTTCGCGGCTGGATGAGGCGGATAAGATCTGTAAGTACCCACAAGACGGGCTGTTACTGCTTCGCCCTTCAAAGTATAAGGTGGAAGCTGAGCTTAAGTCCCGGACTGGAGGGTTGTTGATGATGGTAGCTTTTTTTTTTTTTTTGGAGTAGGCTGGAAAGTAGTTAAATAATCTTTGAGGATCGGTTGAAGAGGAACCAACTTCAGAAGTTTGAAAAGCAGCCGAGGACCTAATACTGTAGCACAACAAATCCCCGTTTCTATTACAAGTTAACATTCTTTGTTTTTAAACCAAAACATTATTAAAAAAAAAACATAGGAGCCATATATAAACTTCGTTGCAAAATGTTGCAAAACTAGGTTTTCTTCCCCCAAAGCTCTCATAACCTGTGATAAATGCATAAATGGGAGCATCGAAGAAATAAGAGCATGATAAATCCTTATATTTGGATTGCAATTTAATAAAACTGCTGTGGTAAAAATTCCTTATGTATCCTGTTCAGTAGTTCTTACCAAACACTGGAGCCAAATTCAGGTGTCAAGAATTCAAAAAATTAACAGAGGAAATTACTAAAGAAACAGTTTTTAATTGGCTTGAAAGGAAAGGCAATAAATACTTAGAGAAATTCCTTTTATTCCCAGTTCACAAAGCAGCATAAATATGGGAATGGTGGTTAATTTTGCTGGCTCAACTTACCAGAAGGCTAGTATAACAGCTGAATGTAATTTGGAAACTTGTTTAGACTTCCATATAGGCTATGTACACATGATATACTGAGCTACAAATTAACCAACTTGATTTTTTAATTTTATGTGTTGTGTAAATTCAGTCTGTGAGTTTAGTTTATGATTCAGGGTAACTTCAAACTCAGAAAATTTTGTGAATTGAGTCAGTAAAGGGGAAACTATCTTTAGATAAGTGAATTGTTATAGAATGTGAACAAGTATATTCTGGAATAGTTTTCAGTATAGCTTATTTCTGCTGCTTTTCAAAGACATAATCACAAAGGATGATATAACATTGAGCTACTGTGGATATTGATTCCAACATCATTTAAAAGTTGTATATTTAAATAGAACCATATTTTTAAATAAGATTCTCATTTTATATATTATTTACAATTCATACTTTTTTGAAAAGTATTATATAACTCCTAAAGTGTATACTCTTTAGCACCTTTTGATTACTTCTTTCTTCACAGAATATAACTTGACTGGGTCAAGTTACCAATAGCAATCACCCAAATTATGTGTGATTATTCAATCTTAGCTGCAACTGTGAGTGCATTATTGTTTACAAAACCCAGTACAGATAACCCCCAACTTACAATCATTCGTTTAGTGACTGTTCAAAATTATAGTGCCCCTGAAAAAAGGGACCTACGACTTTTTTCACACTTATGACTATTGCAGCATCTCCATGGTCATGTGATCAAAATTCAGACATTTGGCAACTGCCTCATATTTATGACGGTTGCAGTGTTCTGGGGTTGTGACCTTCTGAGAAGCAAAGTCAATGGAAAAGCCAGATTTACTTAACAACTGTGTGCTAATTTAACAACTGCATTAATTCACTTAAAACTGCGGCAAGCAAGGTTCATAAAATGGGGCAAAACTCACAACAGCTGTGTTGCTTTGCAACAGAAATTTTGGGAACAATTATGGTTGTAAGTCAAGGACAACATTGTTTAAATTCCATTATCTTTATGGCCAATGTTCCAAGGTGTGCTAAGGCAAAAAGTTAATAGGTACGTATGCCACCATTGCATGCTGTATTTATTAAAATTCCCAAACAGTGATTATTCTGTATTAGATTCAGGTTAAACAGTAAGTCTCATTTTTTTTAAAAAAATGTATGTGATACATTAAAATATGGTTCTCTTTCTGTGCTGAGCTCTTTGGCTGAATGTGCTGATACCACTTTCCCATAGTTTTCAGATATTTTCTTTTTCTGGAATACCTTCTTTGCTTGGTTAGTCAAGAATACAGAAAATCCCATGCTCCAAATATAGGTACTGTAAGGCAGGATTTTGTATGTTATTAGCACTTTTGTGTTCTGAAAAAATAAATATTCTATGAGAAGATGCCTCGTAGTCTATATTTACTTAGGCCTGTAAAGACACTATTGGAAAAATAGGAATTGGACTATTTTGCAAATCCTCTCCTTTATTAAACTTAACAAGGGTGATGACTGTTCCTGCATCAATTATCAAATGTGCATGAAATATAAATATTCAAGGATTTGAAATATACTAAGATTCTTCATCTTCTGGAAGGGTATTTGTTTCTGAAACTAAATCAGAGTTGTGGAGTCATTAAGTTTTCTATAGAGGCAATCATTTAGGCACAGGTACAGAGCCTATGACCCATCAGATGTTCTTGAAATACAACTCCCAGCATCCATCACTATTAGCCCTGCTCTCGGGGCTGCTGGGAGTTGTGTTTTAGGGCATGTCTTTTCAACCAGTGGTACGGATACCACCTGTGGTACATGGGCACCTGGCAGGTGGTACGCGACCATCCTAGAAAAGTGGTAGCGGGGGAGGGGAATGAGCTGAACGGGTGGCAGCACCGCACAAGCCTGAGCGAGAGACGGCTGGAGCTGCAGGGCTGTCAGGGCTCAGCGGAAGCACCAGGATCGGTGCTTCTTCGGGGCTGTCAGGGCTCAGTGGAAGCACCAGGATCAGCGCCAGGCTCCAGCTGGAAAGCAGCACTGATCCTGGCACTTCTGCTGAGCCCAGAAGAAGCACCAATCAGCTGGAACTCAGTGCTGATCCTGGCGCTTGTGCTGAGCCCAGAAGAAGCGCCGATCAGCTGGAATGTTGCAGCATCTCCAAGGTCTTGTGATTTACATTCAGATGCTTGGCAACTGATTCATATTTATGACGGTCACAGTGTCCCAGGGTCATGTGAAGTGACCAAAACCTGCTGCAACCACCTATCAGACGGGGGGGGGAATAAAAACCAAACACCCCCCCCACCCCACCCCCGCTGCCAATCCTCAACAGAAATGCTCACAACAATGAAAACCTCGGACAGGAGGAAGAGCGCCTCCAGGCGGGCAGGCAGGTGTCTTGCTCGGCTGTGGCTTGCGGGGCATTTTTTTCAGTGCCATTGTAACTTCAAACAGTCACTAAGTGAACTGTTGTAAGTCGAGGACTACCTGTACTTTATCACTTTTTTCCTTTTTTTTTTTTTTGGGTCATTAAGTTTTTGACACCTTGCTAGGCGACTGGTGGTACTCTGATATTGCTTTATCCTAAAAGTGGTACAATGGGTGAAAAGGTTGAAAAGCCCTGTTTTAGGGGGCCTCACTTCTGTTTTAAGCAAATTCAAGATGGACAGTGATTAATAGTTATATGTTACTTATATGTAAGGGTGTAGGTCTATACATATGTTGTATATAGTATGTTTAAATGTGTGTTATCTATGTGTACACTTTGAGAGCAAGCAACTAAATTTCATTTTTAATGTGTGCCATTGTGCCCACAGTAAAAAAATGACAATAAAGGTTATCTAATATTTAATATCTAATATCTAAAGTGATGCTCATGATTTATTGTTCTTTCTGTCCCACGCTTGCAGAATAATTAACCATGAATACATCATGTGATGATAGTACAGCTAAACTAATTCTGGAATAAAAAATATATAATTGATTTTGAACTTATGGTTTCAAATTCATTTATTAGTTTTTCTTTAAATTTTATTTAGCTGTAACAGTTTTGTAAGTCGAACATTAAACATATATTTTTCATCTTTTTTGTTCATTCAAAAGGATATAGGGATGACTTCTGATTAGATTGCAAAATGTGTCCCAAAACACCATGGTACCCCACCAAAATAAGACACTTGTGAAATATACAAATTTAAGTATTTAAGTGTCTTATAGAATATTAGAGCTACACTGGGAGTGATTCTACATCATCCCAGATTTGTTGACAGTTGGGTGGCGCACTAGTTTAATAAATTATATTTGCTTCTAATGCAGTTGTTGACTGTGGGCTCAATATTTTTTTTCCCTTTTACTCTTAGGAAATGGTGACTATCTGCCATTTTTCTTTCTTTGATGCCTACCTCTTCTCAGTTATTTTTTGCTGCCCACGTGCTGTACCTGTAACCTACTTGGCTTGGGATATATTATGGTCTATATCTCCTGGGCCTTCCTGATATAAGTAGTCCAGCTATAAGAACTATAAGATAATTTGAAGGGTATCTGGTGGATTCATAGTATATCACAAATAGATTAAAATTGTGCTGGTTAGTAGAGCGCCTAAAGGGGGAAAAGGAATTATTTGAACTACTGAGACCTCTTCCTTCCTTTGCCTTTTTCTGATATTTTTTGTCCATGCAAGAATCTAAAAATTAATCTTAAAATTTCCAATAAATGATTTGATGATGGTTCCATCAAGCCCATGCCATCACCATATATCCTTTAGTAATAGTGTGTTTTCAGTTAATATTGCTTCCCCTTCCTTCTTTAAGAGAAGGGCAAGTAGATGCCTCTGATGACATGGTTGTGTTTTTATGTTACACATTATAGAGCTGCAATTTATTTTTCTCTGTTGCAGGGTAAACTAATAAGAGAGCTTGGGAGCCTTAATTCTGGAGTGTAGTCTGAGCAATCCCTTTGCAGAGGAAAAACTATTGCTCTTGCTTTTTCATAGTGACAGCCAATAGCAGTTGAATCTGGATAGTATTTTTAGCCCTCTCTTGTAAATGGCTGAAGTTGATTGGGCAGCTAACGGAACCCTTACGCTCTTCTTGCAGTCAGGCATAGTTAGATACACTTGTATTTCTAATTAGCAAAAGCAGATGTCATTTTAGATCTGCTTGGTAAATATCACTTCTAATTAGCCTGCCAACTGATGAAATAAGATAAGCCTACTCTACTGACCTTGTTATTTGTTTTAAGCATTTTACTTCCCCACTTGAAGAAGTAATTTCTAAATGAATTCCAGAAATTCTGAAACAGTTTTGAGCAACACATGAAGAAGGTTAAATTAACAACAAAGCAATGCTGATATAGGCTATTAAGAGAATATAAGAGATTGTACACCCCAAGGAAAACATCCACTATTTTTACCTTTAAGTTTAAGAAAGATTCATGTTCTTTATATTACGCTAATATTCTAATATTTAGAAACGTATAGAGTTGCTTGTAATATGGTCAATTGAATAGCATTAAACCCACCATTTTTTTTTCTGGAAAAAGGATTTACTTTGCTGCTTCTTGAAATGGATAAATGTGTGACCGGAGTAATTGTTGTCCTTAATTATTTACCATGGTTAAGTATAGTGTATTCTGTACTGCAAGGATAAATATCCTGATTCTCTCAGTTTTTCTTTATCTATTTTTTTTTCTGTAGAATAAAAAAAAAACAATTAGCAGGCGACATTTTAAAAATGTCATTAAATGACATCCTTGTTGTAGGAAGGAAGTTACTGCTAATTTTATTTGCTATGTTTAAATTCTTCAGTTGTATTATTATTTTTCTTCTAATCCAATCCATGTGGTTCTGAATCTTGACTTCAAGATTGATGGAGAATGTACAAACAAGGCTGCTGTGAAAAACAGATCTGAGTCAAGGTGATGTTTATATCTTCCTTTAGGCATAATCGGGTGAATAAGAGTAGAAACAAAATGTTTTTTGAATTGAATAGTTCTCCTATTAAAAGTGATATTTGAAAAATTATAAAGCTGACAAAGAGTTAATGAATATTCTATTTTCTACTTGTAGGGATCGGGTAAGATCTTTTTCAAGGATTCACTATGGTCCGAGAACGAAAATGTATATTGTGTCACATCGTATACAGCTCAAAAAAGGTAAAATAAAATTTCAGCACCATTCCAAGAAATTTTCACATTATATGTTGGTTAGAAAATGTAAAGCTTACTTTTCCTGAGTATTCAAGGTATCTTTTATTGATCATAACAATTACCTTTTAATTGTACAAATAATCAATGGAGCCATAGAATAAGATAGAAGTTTTTATTTTTCCAAGCCCAGGGCCACACTTGATATTTGAATCTTGTTAGTTTGGATAATGCCTGCAGCTGCCTTCCAAAAGTAGGAAGAGGCTCCTATTAATTAAGTACAGTTAATATGCTCACTCGCTGAATAATAATTAGATTTCATCTTTTGTCACAGTAAAAATAAAGTTTGGTGGCAACTTCTTGAGTAGTTTTCGGAAGCTTTCAAAAGTTGTCTGTGCCACTGGGCCTCCTGTTATGTATTTCTGCTCTAGAAAACTTGAAATAGAACTAGTGCCTTGCTTGGCACTAAGATACAGCAAAGAAGGAAACAAATGTTTCCCTATGCAGTGTGCTTTTATGTCCTGCATGTTGTTTAGAGTTTATGTGTTCCTACCAGGCATCATGCCTAACAGACATAATAAAAATAGTCAGTTTGGTCTAGTGCAGGGGTAGGCAACCTTGGCTCTTTTGTGACTCGTGGACTTCAACTCCCAGAATTCCTGAGCCAGATATGCTGGCTCAGGAATTCTGGGAGTTGAAGTCCACGAGTCATAAAAGAGCCAAGGTTGCCTACCCCTGGTCTAGTGGTTAAGGGCATCAGGCTAGAAAGCCAGAGACTGAGTTGTGACCTTGGACCAGACATACTCCCTCAGCCCTATTCACCTTACAGGGTTGTTGTTGGGGGGGAAGGAGATGAAAGTGTGTTGGATATGTTTGCCAGTATGAGTTATTTGTAAAAAATAATAAAGGCAGAATACAAATAAATGTATGTAATTCAGATGACAGGAAAGCACAGGCAATTTTTTTTACTGGTTTCATTTGAGCAAATCAGTAAGGAGATGGCTCTATAGGTCAAGCATTATGTAATATAAATTCAGAAGAAAACTGATATTAGCAACAGCTCCAGTAGTGAATAATAATATTCAGGTTTTCAACCATTCACTTGTATCTTAGAAGACCACTTGGAATCCATAGGTGGACCAAATGTGGTAGCTCAGTTAGTTATGGATATGCAGGTGAGATTTGTTTATGTACACATAAATAGTTTCCTTCCTATTTATGGCATCTTTCACTTTTTCAGGAGATGGATGAGCACATGAGAAGTATGCTTCATCATCGGGAACTTGAAAATCTCAAGGGGAGGTATGACTATGACAATGATCATTTCATCTTTCTTCACTTTAGTATAACAACATTTTTTTATTATAATACCAGTGCAATTAAAACGTGTTTACATTTTTAAATACTGTATGGCATAGTGTTTAAAGTTCCTATAATTAACTGTGACTAAAATGGCCAGGAGATTGTGAGAAGTTGTGAGGAGGCTGAGAAATAGGACGAATTCTAGACATAAACATCCAATAGATGAGACAGAAATGTGTTAGCTTATCTTATAGATAGCAACTCAGACTGGGCTTAAAACTCCCTGGAAGAAGAGACTAAAATTCAAAGAGACTCCATCTTAATTAACTCATGAATAAAAGAAGGCTGGAGTCTTGCAGTTTCTGAGGTCCTGTTTTTAGTCCACAATACTCAGTTTCTTATTGTCAAATGGCCTACTTGGAGCCTTTCAGGTGAATTAAAATTCAACTTCTAAAATTGCTGGGTAGGAATTCTGGGAACAGTAACACCTGAAGTATTTCAAGTTGGAAGCAGAAACAATATAAAAAATGAGCCTACTGGCTATAAAATTCTAGAAGTTGAAGTCCACATATTATAAAACTTTTAAGGTTGAAAAACATTGCATAAAGCCATAATGTGTTCTCTGAGCATGAACTCAGCTATGTTGGTTGCAGGAGAAAGTATATCAGCTTAATATCAATTGAAACAATTGTAGCCAATTTAACCAAAGTCAGTTAATAAAACTGTATGTCAGTTCAGTACAGAAACTCAGCCTTCCACAATATCTTTTTAAAGTATATTCAACAATTTAGGGCCTTCTGGATATAAGCATTCTGGTATGAATTGAGGGAGTCATACTCCCCAAATAGGGGATAGTTTCAGAGATAAATAAATAAATAAATTTAAGTAGTCATCTAATGGTCACCTCTTCTTGAATCCAGATAAGTCATTTCTGTTCATCTTGAAACTGAATCTTACAACCAATTGACCTTGTTCTTGGCAATAAGGATCTATCTGTTGCCTGGCTGAACAGCTGAAGAGTGAAGGCTCTGAAAACAGAGTGTCACCAACATTAACTTTAGCTGTGTAACTTGAACTAGCAAGTCCAGCTAATTTTTATTAAAATAATCATTTTAAACAACTTGTTCTTATAATTGCCAGTTTTAAATTGATTATGTACCATCAAGGTAAAATCAGTTCTTAACAGTACTTTGATTGGCCAGTTTTATAGGTCATCTGTACACTCTGAACTATATGAGGAAAGGTCTTAATTTAGCTTTGTATTTGGGTTCCCCATCTTCTGTGACTGCTCTACTCTGTTTAATGTTCAGATTAGGGCAGGTATGAATGTGACCCATTTATATCAGTGGGTAGAATATATTGGGATATGCCAGCTTTTTAGAGTTTAAGGAGGAATCCCCATCTAAATCCCGAAGCAATTTGGTCCTCACTAAATTATTGGAATATCTGTGATGATTAATAACAGTAACAATACATTGTAGCACAATACATAGGAAAATTATATTAAACTTGAAGAGGAATTATGTAGATTAAATTAAAATTTATATTTGTAATTGTATTTGATAGTGTTATTTGTAAATTGTAAACTGCCAATCCATTGATAAGGTTAGCAAAAATGCACTTTTTTCAACAGTTTGTACAATGTTTGCAGCTGAATATTACATGTGAAATTTGGGAAGATTTGTGTTGGTAGATTTCTAGACCACAAAATACATATTATTATTATTTCACTTGGTCTCTGTTTTGCTTAAAAATATTCGAAAGGTTGTGAGTTTAAAAATCTCAGATGCATATTTGAAACCAGTAACATTTCTGAGTTAATTGTAATTTTGGCTGGGATCCAGATGTGTTTAGTGCATAAATATATCTAGTGCAGGGGTGTCAAACTGCCGGCCCGTGGGCCGGTTTCATCATACCAGAGCCGCGCCCACCCCATTGCCGGCAATGGCAAAAAAGCTCCGATACGTTGCGCGACGTCACGTGACGTCGCGAGTTTGACATGTCTAATCTAGTGAAACTTACTTCTTTTTTTACTATGAATTTATTTAGACAATTTATATGGGCACTCATCTTAAAATAATAATATTCCAGCCCTAATGTCTGGAGAAAAAACAGATCTTCATAGCCTTCTGGAAAGCCAAAAAGGTCAGGGCCCGCTGATTCTCAGGAGGGAAGCTTATAGAGCAAGCACTAGGAAGGATGATATGGTTTAAAAGAGGGGTCCCCAACCCCCAGGCTGTGGACTGGTCTGGTCTGTGTCATGTTAGGAATTGGGCCATGCAAGCGAGCAAAACCTCATCTGTGTATGCACGGGATCTAGGTACTGCACAAAAAACCACTCCCCCCCCCCAGTCCCTGGAAAAATTGTTTTCCATGGAACCTCTCCCTGATGCCCAAAGTGCTGGTTTAAAAGATGGGGCCATGCAGATCTCCATGCATGTCACATCTTGCTATTGAGATCCTTTCTCCCCACCCCTCATCCCCCATCTGTCCCAAATTATTAATTTGATGATTGTGGGGAATTGCATGCAGCTCTCTAACTCCATGGGTTTACAAGACTGGAATGAACTCAAAACAACTGAGGGTTTATTTATATAGGAATTAGCAGAATATACAAAACTCCATTTTAAATTTTTTTTAAAAAAATGAAGAGGATGGTGCTTTATTTAGCAATCAACTGATCTCTTAATTAAGCGTGTAATGTCTTGTGGGTGAGTGAAGGATTTCCCCCCCTCGGTTTGTCTTTCATACTTTCCAAATTATAGAGGTGGTAGAAGATTCCTCAGCCTGTATTTCCTTTAGGAGAAATTCTTCATAGAATAGCAAAGATGATTGTAGCCCAGGAAATGGGAGCTTGTATCACATCACTAAAGAATGTTCTGGCCAGATGGTTTTGCAGTTGTGTTGTGCCCACATACTAAATTATTGGTGACATAAAGCTTTAAAGCAAAATACAATATTCCAAGTATGCTCGTTATTCCTTTATTAAACTTTAATAAAAGCTTAGTACAATGGTTCATAATACTTAATTGTGGAATGTGTAGGAATGCAATCTGTTTGGGATAGTATTGGTCTCTGGACTTCTTTTGCTTCAAAAAAGATTTATTTAAACTTGTGATTTTAATTTGGGAGTTCTGAAAATTTCATTTTTACTCTTTTCCATTTGGAAATGAAAAGGAGACTATAGAGCTCCAATTCACATTGCAGTAAGTCATCAATTTATCTCTGAAGATTGTACTCCCCTTCTGCCTAGTATATAACATATATGAATGTATGGAATTGTGGACTAGCAGTGTCCATATGTCGATATGTAAAAGTGTTGCAGACCATAATCACAAAATGCACTAATTTTGCTATTCAGTTTCTTTTGTTATTTTTTAGAAGTAGATTTTCAGGCCTTTGATGTTATTTCATGAGTTTCTGTGACGGCTTAGGTCCACTTGCCAAATTCCTTTAAATCTTTTCAAGTGTTGACCATCTAACCCAGGGGTCCCCAACCTGTGGGCCATGGCCCACTACCAATCTGAGGCCTATTCGCAACCGGGCCACGTGGAGTGGCTGGCTGGTGCGCATGCACATGCACAGCCCCACTCACACGAGTGTTGCAGGCGCTCACAGCCCCACTTGCTCGAGCATCGCGGGCACTCGCCTCACTTGCGTGAGGATCGCAGGCATTCGGGGCCTCAGTTGTGCAAGTGCTTGGGGCCTGACTTGCACAAGCGCTTGGGGCCTCGCACAAGTGTCATGGGTGCTTGTGGCCTCACGTGAGCGTTGCAGGTGCTCTCGGCCCCACTTGCGCGAACAATGGATGCTTGTACGTGCACATGTGCGCACACATGCACCTGCTCCCACAAAACCATTCCCTCCCCCCCGTGACACCAACCTGGAAAGGTTGGGGAACTCTGATCTAACCTTTACAGAAGAATACTGATTTTGGCATTTTCATATGAGATCACAAAATCTCACAAATTTTTGGAAAATTGCAGCCTTAAAAATAAAAGTTAAAGAATTTTATTTTTATTTTAATAAGTTTCTTGCCCTATTTTGGCAGTGACAACTATCCTCCCTTCAAAGCCTTTTGAGGCTTTCAAGGTTGTTTCTTTCTCTGAAAGCTTCCAACTCTGGAAACTAAATATGTAGGGTTTTTATTTCTTGCCACTTGTCTGACAGCTGTCTGTTCCCTCCAGCTGAAATAATTTTGTGTCTTTTAGCCTAATCCTCGCAAAGTGGAGAATGGACAGCTTGCATTTTCTGAAACCAAATAAAGTACAGTGAATTGGAGACTCCCTGCAGTCTTTGAATTCCAGGCCACTGTGCCAGTTGTCCCGGATTAGATTTCACTGTGTTAAGATTGGCTGCCGAACTTTTCTCTCCCCTCCTCTGCTGAGGAAAGCTGAGACAGAGCTTAATTCTAGATCCTGACACTGGTTTCCCCAGTGCAGCTGGCACCATGGAGGTGCTTTAGAGCAGCTTCAGCTAGCTCTGCAAGCCCCCTGCTCTGCCATGTTTCCTTTCACAAGATTTTGAGTACAGCAATTCAAGAAGAATCCCAGATGACCCTTTGCTTATTATCAAGTTTGTTACCTCTTGATTGTTGGAAAAAAAAATCTGAAATTCACCAAGAAACAGCCAAGCGAATTCAAAAAAAAACAACCTAGAAAGCAACAGGTTTATTTTTTTAAACTTCAGCCTAAATTACCAGCTCTTGTGTCTCGCTGACTGAGGCATATTCATTCAAAGGAAACTGAATTAAGATCAGCATTGTTTGCCATGCCTGTGGGAAGAATTGAGTGCCCACCTTCTCCTTCTTTCCCCAGGGACAGCAATCACGAGTGCCAAGTGTGCAGGGTGACAGTGGTGGGCTTGTCAGCGTACGCCAAGCACATCTCCAGCCAGTTGCACAAAGACAGCGTTGAAACCCACGATGCCGAGGAAGAAAAAGAAAAGACCGATGAAGAATACTTTGACAAGGAACTTATCCAATTAATACAGCAAAGAAATGAACAAAACCGGTGAGTATTTCCACTGTTCATTAATTTTCACTTTGTGAAGTTCTTTATTGGTTCTTTGAACCAAAGAAAATGCTTTTGAAAGTGCAGGGGTGCCTTCTGTGCAGTCTCGAGTTGCCTGTAGCTGGGAGAATTCACAACAACTGACTAACTTGCTATTTTAAGTTTATGATTTAGAAGGGTTTGGTTTTGGAATAATTCTTTCTGAATTCACAATTAAACCTGACTACTATTGATATAGCTTTTTCTGCATGAAATAGCTGCGGATTTATTTTTTGCCACTTATATTCAAACGTACCTAATATGGGTATTAAGATTCTTCTATAAATATACTATCCAGTCATGCATTACATGCCTGTTGCACTTTACAAACTTTTGTCCAGGTCACAGTAACTAATTCTACCACATTTATAACCTATTTTTATTACATCATACAAAATAAATTGAAACTAGGCTAGGCTTTTGGCTTAAAGCCGGAGAGTTCACCCTTAGTTTTTATGTATACGCAAAACCTGGAACTACAAAACTGGACAGTTTATAGAATTTTTTAATAATATTTTTAGGATTTGCTGTAAAAGAATGTATCGCGTTTCAATCTTTGGAAGAGAAGAGCAGTGCAACTCATTCAGAGTGATATTTCAGTGGCAGCAAGCCAGTGAGTAAAGCACTGCTTCACAAAAGATTGAGGCAGATACGTATTCCCCTGAGTCTGTGCAGCTGCTTTGCAGGCTTTCCTAGATTGTACGCACATGAAAGTACAGGCACTGAATTCCACTGTGACTGGTATTTAAGCAAAGCCGAGGAAGGCTCTCAAAATTGCTGTGCCAAACCTTCGGGGCAAGGCGACTGTTTTCAGCACTTTACTGTTGACAGTACCATAAAACATCCTTTTGGAGAATTTGCAAAAATTGATCCATGGCTTTCATTTCACTGCTTTTAGTAATATGCAGTTTAAAGACCATGTATTTGCTTTGGTTAACTTGCTGATGTATAGTCCTCTGTAAGGTAGAAAGAATTTTGTTTGTGTGGTCACCAATTCTGTCCATCCTCTCCTACATCAAAGTGTGATACTTCCTTCTTTCCTTCCTTCCTTTGGTTGGAGAGAGAAGGAGTCAATGAAACTGAAGAAATCAGTTGTGTATCTGACTAAGTCAGGGGTAGGCAACCTTGGCTCTTTTATAACTCGTGGATTTCAACTCCCAGAATTCCTGAGCCAGCTACGCTGAGGGAAAAGGGAGAGGTTTCCAAGCTGGGCCATGCTGGCTCAGGAATTCTGGGAGTTGAAGTCCACGAGTCATAAAAGAGCCAAGGTTGCCTATCCCTGGACTAAGTGAATTTCAGTATTGGTGTCTTCCACTTATACAGTAGTTTATTAAAGAGCTTTAAATGTTTCCCCTGTCCAGTTGTGACCAACTCAAAAGAGCTATCAATATTATTCATTTATTTATTTACATTATTTATGTAGCCACCTTTCAAATTGCCTTGGGGAGAAGCTCTGCACCTCTAATAAGATCTGACAGGGTCCCACTTTTTAAATAATGCTATCTTAGAACCCAGGTAGTGTGCCTTTTCTGTTGCTGTGCTTGTCCCCCAGAGACATGGATAATGCTGATTCTGCCTGCTTTCCCCCCGGGCTTTGGGTCAGGAGGATTTGGGCTCCTGCCAGTTGTGATTGTCTGTCTCTTGAATAACCTTGGTGGACTTTTTTGAATGTGTTATATTTTATTTTAGCATTCACGGCAATAAAACTAACTGGATTCAGTTAAAGATGTCAGCATTATCCTAGTAGAATTAAATATAGGAAATGAGAGAAGAATTAACTTAGCATTATATTACTGGGCTACATTTTTTTAACCTTTGATCTAGTGATCTCCTTGAAATCTTGATGATCCACAGTCAATTGACTCCTATTTATGGGAATTGCTAAGGAGTCTTCTCAAAGTTAAAAAAGGATATGGAACTTAAAACCTTCAGCATGCCCAGGAACAGAAGTTGTGAGGTGCTATAGTGTGAAATTTTCTTTCTCTTACATCTCCAGTAGGCTATAGAGAAAGGGAGAGAATCATGTTGATTTTAAAAACAATAGAATGTTTTTCTGACATTTTACTTCTTTTTCAAGGAGGTACTGTACTGCCGATGGAAAAGGAACATTTCCCTTTGACAGTTATATGATAAACCTACTGAGTGTTTTCTTTCTCAAAGAACTCCTGTTCTGTGACAATCTGTATCTATGCAACATCCATTGCAGCAGTTGTAATCTAGGGAAAATTATGACTATGTAATACTGTTCTAGGTTAGAACTAAGTTGGCTTCATTTGGAGTTATTTCAGATCTAAGTACTTTAAAGTAGTAGTTTAAATAGTTATTGTGTACTTCCAGAATTGTTTTCAGTTAACCAATGTGTTAGAAGTGGTCAATAGAGGAAGTATCTCCCTTAAAGATTCACAATATCTCTTTTTCCGAGTTGTTTTCCTGAGTTTTTCACTAAGAAAATAGTTCCATAATATATTATTTGGTATGCTGGGGTAAAAAAATAAAAGTAGCAAAAGGGTGATGTATATATGGAGCATTGCTTTAAGTGTTTGTCCCACTTGAAAGTGAAAAGTAATTTCAAGGTGATTTTCATTTGAACTTTGATCTTTACTTCCTTAGAAAAAAATTGTTATTTGACGTTATTGATTAAAGAAACTAACAAACATGTAGAATTGGATGTAAGCCAGGATTTTACAGTTTTAACAATTTTTTTGTTATTTTGATTATTAAATCATTAGATGTAAATATTTGTGTCCTTGATCATTAAATGAAAATGTTTATGTCTTTGTAGGACAAGTGAATTGTGTCACGTAAACTGTGAAGCAGATGGTGATGACAGGAGATTGCGAAGGCAACAAAATGACAGACTCTCTTATCAAGACCGAGATTGTTATGATACAACATCAAGGAGGCATCATGGACCATCACAGAGGGACTGGAACTGGGAAAAGGATAGTTTCTTAAATTCCAAGCAAGGAAAATTCACTCACTCTGCCAGGAATTCTACTAATTCAAACAGACATCTCAGCAGCCAAAGAGGACGACTTGGGTGGCATCAAAATGGTTCCAGAGGACATCCAGGTCAATACCATAACCATGGAAACATTGGCGGTATTTGGCATCAGAATGACAGAGGTGGAACATCAGGTTGGCCTCATCATGATAGAGGAAGAAATTTCAGTTGGAGTTCTGAAGCAAATAATATATTTTCCAACTGGCAGTCCAAAACTGTAGGGGGGCACCGGAAATCTGTTCAACAAAATGGAAATGGATGGAACATTGGACGAAACAGAGCTGTAAACAGTACTTCTCAGGTAGACAACATGGATACTTCCTGGTTAAAAATAAATAGTATACAGGATAAATACAGCAATGAAAATTATACATGGCAATGGCAGGAGGGTGTGGCAAATTATACCGGTCTTGATAATAAAATTGGCAACCCTGACTGGTCATTAGATTTCACGAGTGATCAGCTACCTTCAGATCAGTTACTAAATTTTAGTGTTTCTAAGCATCCAGAGAGTAAGAATTCCAAAGTCAATAGAAAGTGCAGTAGTCCTTCTCGAGAAAAGATGAACCGGTGGTCTCCTTATCCTTTCCAGAAAACTGTAGAGCAGCAGCCACTGTCTGAAGAGATGGTAGCTAAAACATCAGAGAAAACATCGTCTCAGCTGTCTTCAGAATCAGCAGATCCTAAAGCCAACAACCCTAAAATGAAAAAATGGGAAGAGAGTTATTCAATATCTTCAACTAACAGTAAAACATCCCTGAAAGTGGCACCAGGCAAAGCGCCAGCGGCCTGCCCAGGGGAGAACAAATCAAGTAAAGCTGAAAGCAAAAGTAACAAGATGCCCTCCTTGAAGTCCCCACTTCTAGCTATTCCAGATATTAAATCCTCTTCCAAAAAAAAAAATTCAAAGAATCTCTTGAAACGTGCCCATGTCTCCTCATCTTCCGGGGAAGGCCAAAGTCAGCTGAGTACAGAGGCTAGCAATTTCTCGAATAAATCCAAGCTGAACAATAATGCATGTAACTATAGCAGTTTAAAAGAGAGCACACCTCTATTGAGCAGCAACGAAAGCCTAAACAAAGCATTAGAAAAGGCCAAAGATGAACTCCAGTATAATCGTTCTTTTCAGAAGTCCCATTCAAGTTCTAGCGGAGATGCTCAGATTGATAGGAAAGAAGAATGGAAAACTGAAGATTTGAAGATACATGAAGTCCAGATGAAAGGAATAGAGAACAATTACCAAGGTAATAAACCAGGAAACATAAATACTTCCCCAAATTCTTATTCACCTTATGGCCTTGCTGAACCTGATCACATTGCAGCTAAAAATGATAACTGTTTAAATGAATTGAATGGTGCTAATAAAAAACACATTGAACTCCGAAAGGAGACCCTAGACTCTTTGTCAAACTATCCCTGTGAGTTAGATATTGAGTTGAAAACAACTCTGGAAGAAGATGGGGATGAAGATGTTACAAAATCAAATGATGCTCCCGAAAAAGAAGATGATAGAGATAATTCAAATCACGAGCTGCTCAAAGGTACTATAGGGCACTCTACAGGTCCTCTTCTTCCTGAACTGAGTAAACTTGGGTTCCCAGCTTCTCTCCAAAGAGACCTGACATGGCGCACTAGCTTAAAAAATAAAATTAGCTCTCATTTGCCTGAGCCAAATCTCAATAACGCAAGGCGCATTCGAAATGTGAGTGGTCACCGGAAGAATGAGACGGAAAAAGAATCTGGACTGAAACCTACTTTGAGGCAAATGATCAGTGTGTCTCGTAGAAATGTAAACTGGGAACAGGTTATTCAGCAGGTGACAAAGAAAAAACAAGAACAAGGCAAAGGTTTACCAAGGTTTGTAATCTTACCAAGGACATTCTTACTTTACAGCATGTCTGAATTGTGTGTGGATGTGTGGGGTCTCAGTACAAAACTGTACGAAAACTAAAAATTCATTGAATAAATGTGCTTATGTATTTATTGTAAAATTACTAACAATATTATGAAATTAACATAAATAATAAAGTAAACTTAATAAATACCACATGAAAGTTATAAAGTGACTACCCCAATGTAGTATATGCACTTAACATCAAATTGACTATAAAATTACAAAAGGATTTAGGATTTATATCCTAAAATCTAGGGGATATTTAAAGAAACGGTATTATCTAACTGGATTATGAGCCTTGGAATAAGAAATATGTTTATTTTAATTGTAGATCGTTATATTTGATATTTTCCATAATTACACTGATGTTATTCTGCCTTCCCTTTAGTTTGATTCACCAATTAACTGAATGTTAAGAACACTATTCTTATTGCAAAAGATATCCTTGCATTTAAATCAGCAGAAAGAGCTGCATGTAGTCAACCTATTGAACAAGATCGACTGGTTTTTAAATAGGTTTTTGGCATTTAAGATTTCAATAGCGTATATCCTTTTGCTCATATTGTGTTGTAATTATATAAAATTGATTAAAAGTTTTTAATCTCTGCCCTCCCATCCATTTCAGCAATAGTTAAGCTGCTATTTTACACTTATATTGAAAAACCTGTTAGCCCAACAATATACAAGATAGTGTTTAGGCTAATTTATGCAAGCTTCCTTCATGAAATTTAACTTCATGAAGAGAAAGTCTAACTGAAAGATCTTCAGTAACAATGATTTGGTTCATATATAACCCTAGAAAGGGTTGTTTGCTTTTCCCCTTTAAAAAACCTCTCTCAAAATGGGCCCTAGCACTGCCCACTTTTGGAGGACAGCCTTCAATGACCCTTACAAAGCTCTTGAGAAAATGGAAGTTGTACTAATCTATGTTATCCTAAAGGTGTTTTTCAAAGGCAACTGGACTTCCTTCGTTTTTTCCCTTAAAAACATTGTGCTTCTCATCAAAGAAGCTTCTTTAGTCTGGGCTGAATGATGGAGAATGGAAGAGTTTATATTCCTTAGCAGTCATCTGGCCGTTAGCTCCTTGAGAGTCGTTGAGGCCACTTGGGGGTTTATGTGTACCCTTAGGGTCACCTGAATCAGAGTGCAAATGGGTTTGGGACTACCGAAGGGACTGTTGTAGACAAGGGATAAGTGGCGTCATATCCTTCCCCCTCTGTTAACAAAGGGCTGTCCAATTTTAATGTTGATGGCCTCTTTGACCCTTCCTCTCAGGCCAGTGGTCCTCATATATATAATGTAATATAAATAGAATATAAACCCTTCCATTCCCCACCATTTATCCAGAACTGAAAAAGCTTCTTGGATGAGAAGCGAAATATTTTCAAGGGAAAAAAACTAAGAAAATCCAGTTTCCTTTTGAAAAGCATCTTTGGGACAACCATGACCTGGATGATTGAGAATCTCCATAGACATATTCTATTTTATGGCTTCCGATGATGTGTATGCATCTGGCCAATATTTTGCTCATCTAAGAGTGGCTAAAAATATTGACTTGGCTTTAGGTAAGTCCAGGTAACTTGTGTGTAAAAGATAAAATAATTGAGCTCCATAGTTAGAGAAATCCGGTAATGTTGCTGAAGTATTTATAGATAAAAATTTAAATTAAAGATGTCTTCAAATCCAGCTGTATTCCCTATAATAACTTCATGAACACATCCATGTAGTTTTCTGAAAATTGCCACTGACTTCTTCTAAAATGCCTCTCTAATTCCACAGTCTAGCCTTACAACCAGGAATTTCCCACGCTTATCTCTCCTTAGCTTTTGATATTAGACTAATTAGCTGAGAGAAGTGGTTGTGTCTTTTTTTTAAAAAAAAGTTTCACTCATACATGTTTCGTGGTTGTGTTTTAAGGTTTGGCATTGAGATGGTTCCACTCATCCAGAATGAACAAGAAGGCCTTGAGTTGGATGAAGAAGTCGACTTCACCAATCTTGAAGGATTCCAGTGGGAAGGGATATCTATAGGTTCCCCAGGAACAGTTAGGAAACGTAGCCTGTCAGAAAGTAGCGTGGCGGTCGAGAAGATAGCCTCCATTTACAGTTTCTTTAATAATCAAGGCACAAGTAAAGAAGACAAGCAGAAAAATTCTGCTTCAGTTGCCAACTCTGAGGATATAAGAAGTGGAATTCGGCCATTAGAAGATACTGTGGTTACTGTGAAACAGGAGTCATCTTCTCTTCCTTCCTCCCCATTCAAGACTGACAGGACTGATTTAATTTCAAGTGAGAGGAAACTCAGCCTCCAGTCTACCCCAAATGTCACTATGTTTAGTACCAGCGAAGGCCAGAGAAGCCTTGACTGTGCCGTTCATCTATCTGAAAACAAAGGAATATTGGAGAATGCAGAAGAACATCCCACCCTGGTTTTAGGCCTTGCAGACATCAGTGCTCTAGATGCAGCTACCGATAGCAGCTATACATCAAGCAATGAGCAGAATGATAGCCAGGTGATGGGGAAGAAAAGAAGAGCAACAGGAGTAAGTCCTCTATATGCTACTAGAAGTGATTTGATTTTATTTGCAGCCATTGAATTCATGAACCAGCTTGTGAAAAACATCCATAAGCGTAATAGTACTTTGGTAAAAGAATCATTTAAAGTAGAATCCCACCTAGGCACGTTTATTTAAAGAGATTCTGTCTAGTCATGGCGGTTACTTTAATCTAAAACCGTATTTGCCAACCTCATAAAAGCATTCGGTTTTACCTTCCCTAATTCCCCAGTAAGCACAGTCAATTACCATGTTGCATGAGAGACTATAGGAGTTGAAATCCAAGTTGTAGAAGCTGGGGTATACTGGATATTTATCCTTTTGCTATGTGTGTTCTTATTTAGGTTGTAAAAAATATTGTACTGGCTTTTATCACGTTCAAACTAGTATTTGTTTTTCTTAAGTTTTTGCTAGGGAGGGTATTAGTAATGAAAAATCAATGCAGAGTCTTGGCTACATCTGTTTCATTAGATGTGGATTGCCTGTGGATCAAACTGAGGTCACAAAAAAAAGTATGCCTCAATAATTTAATGGTAGTTCAGTGGTTTTAATTATGTCACTTGAAATAATTCTCATTGAAAAAAATTGCTACTAGTTCTGAACATTATGTGCAGTGTTGGCTTAGCTGACTAGAAATGCTAATCTTTTAATTTCTAGGAAGGCTCCTGTCCTGAAATCCCAAGTTTAGAAAGAAAGACTAAACGAAGGAAGATCAAAGGAAAAAAAGGTGGGTGATTGAAGTCAGCTAACATCTTATTATTGCCTTCAATTTATATTTTAGGAGTTTTGTGTACAGTAATAATTGTATTTAATAATAATAATAAAGTTGGAAGGGACCTTGGAGGGCATCGAGTCCAACCCCCTGCTCAGGCAGGAAACCCTACACCATTTCGGACAGATGGCTGTCCAGTCTCTTCTTAAAAACTTCCAGTGTTGGAGCATTCACCGCTTCTGGAGGCAGGTTGTTCCACTGGTTAATTGTTCTAACTGTCAGGAAGTTTCTCCTTAGTTCTAGGTTGCTTCTCTCCTTGATTAGTTTCCATCCATTGCTTTTTGTCCTGCCTTCAGGCACTTTGGAGAATAGCTTGACTCCCTCTTCTTTGTGGCAGGCCCTGAGATATTGGAACACTGCTATCATGTCTCCCCTCGTCCTTCTCTTCATTAAACTAGACATACCCAATTCCAGCAACCGTTCCTCATATGTTTTAGCCTCCAGTCCCCTAATCATCTTTGTTGCTCTTCTCTGTACTCCTTCTAGAGTCTCAGCATCTTTTTTACATCGTGGTGACCAAAACTGGATGCAGTATTCCAAGTGTGGCCTTACCAAGGCATTGTAAAGTGGTATTAACACTTCACGTGATCTTGATTCTATCCCTCTGTTAATGCAGCACAGCACTGAGTTGGCTTTTTTGGCAGCTGCAGCACACTGCTGGCTCATATTTAGGTGCCTGTGGTGACCAAAGTTTAGTTATCTCCATAATCCTCCATGATTTCCGTAATCTAATACACATACTTGCTCTGCAGAATGCATAAGAAAAAGGTGTTCCCAAGACTGATAAAATAAAGTTAATCCTGAAACACAATATGATTTATACATAGTTTAAATGGTGCTCGAACAGCTGACATAGACAATCGCTTTCTAAATGTCTCCCAAATGTCATGTGCCTCCATTATGTTTTACAACATTTTTCTTTTGCAGAGCGTTCTCAGGTGGATCAGTTGCTGGTTATTTCCCTGCAAGAGGAAGAATTAAGCAAATCATTACAGTGCGTAGATGAAAGCCTCCTGCAGGCTCGAGCTGCTCTGCAAGCAGCTTATATTGAAGTCCAACGTTTACTTGTACTGAAACAGCAGGTATTTCATAAGTTGGAGTCTATTTGCTCTGATTCCCACAATTTCAGAAGGATGTTACTGTGTTTCTCCGAAAATAAGACCCGGTCCTTTTTTTTTTGCCTCCAAAAGAGGCACCAGGTCTTATTTTAGTGTGTGTGTGTGTGTCTTTTCACTCACCTCCAGCACTGACAGCCCTGCCCAGCCGGCCCACTTCTGGGACCGAAGGAGCAGCTTTATTCTGCAGCTGAGAATGGAGCTTGGCCTGCATTTCGCAGTCAAAGGCCTTTCTGGAAGGCCACCGCAGCCGAGAACCGAACTATGGATTGAATCCATAGCTCGGTTCTCGGCTGCGGTGGCCTTCCGGAAAGGCCTCTGACTGAAATGCAGGTCCGGGGATGCCGCAGAAAAAGTGGGTTGGCGAGGAGAGGCCTGGCTGCAAGGTAAGTGGGTGCGGGGCGCGTGGGGCAGCTCCACACTCCCACTTCTGCCCTAGCTTGATTTTTAGGTTTGTGCCTCACCCCAAAATTAGGGCTCATTTTGGGGATAGGACTTACTTTCAGGGAAACCAGGTATTTGCTGGTCCTTATTTAAATCTCTCTTATTTTCTAGATATCAGTAGAAATGGGATCTCTGAGGACACAGAGGATTCAGATCCTGCAGGGGTTACAAGGTAACTTTGCTGACTTGGAGCTATGTTCCATCTGGATCTTGGCTTTTGATCTGGTATATGCAACACAAAACAGTGAGGTGTTCTCAGATTCCCAGTTTCCGAAGTACATTCCACAGCTTGATACGGTTACCGCAATCAAAATCTTTTCTGTAGTCAGTATACTTACTTATTTGGGGAATTCTTTGGCTTTCCCAATTACTCAGATTTCTAAATCAAGCTTCTGGCATCTTCTTTTCTAATCTATGCTGGGCGATCCTAAGCATTATTTTGCCAGGATGTGAAATTAAGAATATGTGCTATGGATTGCACACATTGTTATGTCTTCTTTCTTTGGCATTGTTATGTAGACTTTTTTTAAAAAAATCTTTTGGCCATTTTGTTGTTCTCTTGATTTATTGATATAGTTTAGTTAGAACTTTTATAGATTCTCCATCTTTGACTTGCCAGATTTCTGTAGATGTTCCATCAATTCTAATAGCCTAACAACTATAGTGCTGATGTAATTTCATCTTCTATTGGGGGTTTTGTCAATAGGAAATTCCTTCTATGGCATCTTGGTTGTTGACATCTCTGTGGTACAGAAGTTCATTTCTTCCATTTTTCAGAACAGTACAGAATTTTTTTTCAGAGCAGAATTTCATTTCCATTTTTAGCTTATTCAAATCGGCATAATTGATATTAGTATAGCCCAGGGGTAGGCAACCTTGGCTCTTTGATGACTTGGACTTCAACTCCCAGAATTCCTGAGCCAGCATGGCTCAGCATTAAGTCCACAAGTCATCAAAGAGCCAAGGTTGCCTACCCCTGATATAGCCATTCTCAGCATGCCATTTCACGTTTGGAACATTTTCTGAGTTCGGAGATTTTTGAAGACTCTTCTTGTTTTTCTGTGTCTATTCCTATCTTTAATGTCTTTACAGATGTTCTAATATTGCTTCTGGTCTCATCTGACACTTCTCTGAAATGCTTTGCTATTTCTTGATATACATAATATAATTAGCAGCCAGGTTTTACCCAGAAAGCTGTTCGATATCAGGAGACAGGATAGGCTTTTGGACTTCATTCAGTAATGTGATCGTCAAATTGCATTACATAGGTAGTCCTCGACTTACAACAGTTCGCTTAGTGAATGTTTGAAGTTACAATAGCGCTGAAAAAAGTGACTTATGACCATTTTGCAACATCCCCATCATCACGTGATTTACATTTGGATGCTTGACAACTGACTCATATTTATGACGGTTGCAGTGTGCTGGGGTCACATGACCCCCTTTTGCAAACTTCTGACCAACAAAATCAATGGGGAAGCCAGATTCACTCAACAACCGGGTTACTAATTTCACAACTGCAGCGATTCAAGAAAAGTTGTAAAGTGGGGCAAAACTCGCTTAACAAATTTTTCACTTAGCAACATAAATTTGGGGCTCAGTTGTCATAAGTTGAGGACTACCTGTACTGAGGATTGTTCATCTGCTATCGAGGTATATGGTTTAATTCAGGGGTCTTCAAACTTGGCCCTTTTATGACTTGTGGACTTCAACTCCCAGAATTCCTCAGCCAGGCATGCTGGCTGAGGAATTCTGAGAGTTGAAATCCACAAGTCATATAAGGGCCAAGTTTGAAGACCCCCTGGTTTAATTGAAATAGGAAGCCACGCTGCTTCATTAGCGCATAGTGGAAGGTCTGAAGACTTCCCAACTTCTTTAAGGTTTTTGCTTCTTTTCATTACAGTTTTGGAGGTCACACGAAAATCTGCCCAGGGACCATCCACTTTACACATAACTAGTTCCCATCAATACTCTTCTCTGGTCAGTAATACTCACTGAGATGCCTCATAGTTTAGAAAGATTCCATCCCTATTAGTAATGTGGTTGCATTTTCTGATTGGAAACAAAACCTATAAATGTTTTAAACAAATAAGCATTTGCTGAACATAATGTGAACCTCAACTGCTCTGCTCCTGTATGCTCTTGCACTGATAGTCATTGTGTACTTTGAGGTTTTTTTTTTTTATTAATGAGCATTTTCAATCAATCTTTTCTGTACAGGACCCAGAAACATCTTTGCCAATCAATACTACATTTTAGCCTGATGCTTTGATTTTCAGTATCTCATTTGTCGTTGTTTTTTTTGTTAATTAAAAAATGGGAAAAATATTGAACAAGAAATGACATTGACAATGACAATATATTCAAAGGGGTGTACCTTTGAATATATTTGGTGTGGATGGGCACGATATGGGGGGGGGCAGGTTCCATATTTTGTTTGTAATTTGAGGCAGGTGGATGCTTTAAATTCTGTAGATATTTAAAAGAAGAAAGCTTATAGAAAAAATGGATACTCTCTTGATCCCGCAGCACGCTCAGCTTTTATGTGAATTTAGAAGATGAAGCAGGTGGGCAATGTACTTCCTGGACAAGTCAGGTGTATGCAGAGTTTGGAAACCAATAGAAGGAGAATATTTGTAGCTTGGGATCCTGGTTGCTCTCTGAGCTTCGTTCTTTTCTTACAGATGTTTCGTTACCCAAACTAGGTAACATCATCAGTGCTAGTGAGTTTGGGAAGTTTGGAAAACGTCAAGACAGAACTTGTGCCACATAATATTATTTATTTATTTTTTTTAAAAAAAGACTTTAATATGAAACATGTTGCTCCCTTCTTAGACACTTACGAGCCTTCAGAACAATCGCACTTGCAACAGCCACATCATAGCAGCTCAAGTGAAAAAAGCCTTGGCAAGCTCCCTTTGACCCAGGACCCTACAGCTAATGCAGGTCTTCTTGCTCCTCTTCTGGAAACCGTCCCACCTATCTCTGTGCAGATCCCTCCTCCTTTTGCAGCCCCTGTCCAAGAAAAGGCTGATCCTACATTCCAGACTGCTATGAACGTTGCCCCCATCACAGTTCCTGATTCATCCATACAAATGAAGAAAGAAACTGTGCTTCCAAGGCTTAGAGAAGATTGCATGAATGTTCCTGAACAGAGTACTTCATGTTCCCCACAAACAGAGCTTCACTTGCAGGATAGTATGTTGGTTTACTGTATATTAAAGATAAGTTGATCTCTCTCTGTCTCTCTGTCTCTGTCTGTCTGTCTGTCTGTCTGTCTGTTTCTCTCTCTCTCTCTCTC